CTGAGATAGGTTACAGTATACCCTGAGGTGCATGACTCTACTGTAGTCATGTCCCGGGCGCAGTTTAATTTTCTGTTGTAATTGAATAGTTGTGTTAACTGAAAGCAAACATGTGTATTAGATAAGAAAAATATCCTCGAGGACTTTAATTATTGACGCATGCAATCGCCACAATGTCAAGCTTTACATTCAGTTTTATATTTTCCATCTATGACCCCTTGGCTACTGTTCTTCCCAGAAAAGTATGGCAACATGCATTGTAAAAGGTTTTTGAAGTCTCAACCCAGTGAATACAACACACACACACACGTAACATATCTAACAATACAGATAAATATAAACTGATCATTATTTTCCATTAAGGGGAAGTCTTTTTGGATACCCTGTAGAATGTTCCCAAACCTTAAATGCAGAGTGGAATGTACACCAGTAATTTGCACGGTGTCACCTTAACATGTAGAAAGAATGGTGGTTACCTCAGCTCAAGCATATACACGAGTTAGCAAGTAGGAAAAATTATTGTCTAGGGCAGTATCATGGTCGTTTTCCGTTACCGCACACTTATTATATAACAGGCAAAATGAACCTTCCTAACACAATCTAACCTTACTTGACTAAAATAAACTCCTTTAAGATCATTAATTTTGATCAAGATTTGGTCTGATTAGGTTTGTCCGACTATAAAATGTTAATCCATTTCTACCACGATGTTTGTACAAAAGTCATCATATAAGGAATTAAAATCGACCATAATATTGTCCTGGACTATTGTCAGAAAAACTAAGTACGAAAAAGTAGACGGGTGTCAATAAGGAAAACAATAAATGGGAATACAGGTATACAGTAGTTAACAGTGGAAAGGCGACGTGGAAGTTGGCAATATGTGGCAGATCAAGTACTTTAGGTACTACAGGTGTTGCAGTGTGAAGCTCGGATTTCATTCACGTGTTTGCAGTGCGTTTGCGTTTTCAATGGCTGGGAGCGATTGGCATGTACTGCAAACGCATAACGCTAACGCAACCGTGCCAATAGAAACAACCGTGTATACTGTATTTCAATATAATCCATTTTTGGCGCAACCGCTAACGCGTGAATGGAATCTTAGCTTGAATGTGTGCACAGAAATGAGTCACTGAAGGGAAGGTCACCCCTTTACCTCTCCCTTGGAAGTGCTTCCATGGGTGACCCGCAGGTCAACCTGTCTATTACAAGTTTGTTCTGAATATTATTGTCTTTAGGATACAAGTAACTTACATGTTACGATGAAGAATATGACGGACTAAATCTTTATTTTTCCTCAAATATTTTTCTTGTTCATTGCTTTGTATGCATAAAAAAATAGTTATAATGTTACATTACACATTTATTTCCATACCAAATCAACTCATGTTTATATAAAGCAGTTGTCACAAGTTAATTGATTGATACACAAACAAATAAATCTTTTGAGAAGTTATTATTTACTACTGAGTTTTATTCCCATCTCCTAGATATTTATTTATGCATTTATTCCTGAAATATTTTCTATTCAAGGTTCTATTCAAGGAGAGCGAACGACACTTACACTGACACCCATATGTTATACGTGACTAACGTCTACCCTGACGAACAATGTCATGATCAGTGGCTGATTCGCTAACCAATGAGAGGCGAGATCCCAACAAACATAATATGAAATATGTGATGAAACAAAATTAATTTTAGCCACTGTAAACGTAAAAGATACAAAATATATATTTTTAAGGCAGAATATAGGACATCCGGCACAATGAACTTTGCGAGATGATAATGCCACAAGCATGTGTTTTGTCCTGCTGCTCCCTGTAAAATTCACATTTGCCTTCTTTTTTTACGGGTATAAGCCCACCCAGGCACAGGTCACTGACCTACATCGGGGCCTTGGGGGCGAAAATTTAATAATAATAATAATAATAATAATAATAATAATAATAATAATAATAATAATAATAATAATAATAAAGAACCATAAAGAAAAACAAAATGAAAAAAATCAAAAGTGAGAAACAATATATGTATGTTGTGTTGTTAATATTAAGAGAAACAATTGAGACCCTACAATTGTGTAAATGAGGCAGAAAGTCAGATCAGCAACCTGGGACTTGGTCACAATTTTCGTGATGCCTGACTGACAGCTGGTCTATACAGTTTGATAGATAAACGAGATCTGGCCTGCGACCTTAGTAGATACAATACCAACATGATCAACTTCTGTAAATCTAAGACTACGGTAAACGTTCAATAACTTGGGTATGAACCATTCGCGAAAGCAAAGATTATTGATTGGTATAATGATTTACTATTATAAACAAAAGATTATTGACTGGTACATACAAATTCATCTCCATAAACAAAGCATGTGTACTCTACGGCGAGAATTTAACATGTTGTGTCTTGAGTCACGGTTTAATGACTTGCAAAGTTGATCCATCAGTGCCTGATCTCTTCACTAAGGTTATGTTTGTTTTTGTTTCACGTATAGATGATAGTGTATCATATCGAAATAAATGTCACCTGACAACATATCAACCATATTTCCAAACCTACTTCTAGACTGCAGTCATTTTCAATACATATTACTTTATAAAGTTAAGTTTTATAATTAAGCAATTATTTTATTGATCAACATACTGGACACAGGTTTCAATACAATAATCAGTTAAGATCTAGAATCTGATATGCAACGCTTTCTCTATAGTTACATAAAAGAAAAAGAAACTCTTTGCAGGAGTAATATTAAGTGTTTATGAAAATATGATTTATGTCTTGTGGTTCTAAAAGATCTGAAAATTGCCATACACTTTAACTGAATCTGATGCAGTCTCCATCAACGGCACCAGTCAGCTATACACAGAGATCAGAACACCTGCAACTGCCTAGCTTATACTACAGACGGGCAAGGGGTGATCTAATTGCATCTCAAAGGGCACTACTCAGTCGAGCACACATACCTGGAACTGGCGGACGCCCTCCCCAGGGGGTCACAGCTCAAGGTCGAAGAAGCCACAAGTCCAGAAAACAGTGAGGGTAGACATTTTCGGAGTGAGAAATGTCAATTGTCAACTCTTGACACAATCTGCCTGAGAGTCGTGAAGGCACCGAGTGTGAGCTGTTTCAAGACCAGACTTAACCAACACTGGAGTAGGTTCAGATATATTCAGGAGCCCAGTATCTGCCAACAGTGAGTAATAGACGTGACCGACCGCCCAAGCTGCTAACGAGCCGATCAGTGGCGAAGAGAATAAAAGTAAAAGATCAACACAGATCAGTCACCAGCACTTACATCATATTCTTTCTCTCCTTGGCACTGATAGCACTCGTCACATAAATCTAATCACTTAATCAATACATTCTTTATATAAATTAACAAATTATGTTTAACACTTCTTAAACTGTATAATGTACGAAATTTTCTCACTCGCTGTTTTCCCGCACAAACTGACGGGATCATGACGTCAATTGTTTATATGCACGCACATACACTATAATGCATATATAAAATTCATTTATTATTTTGTATTAGTCATTATTACAATAACAACACAGAGATTTCAATTCCACAAAATAAAGTGAAACCACAAAGAATTAAAAAAATTCAGAATAAGATCAATATCGTACATTAAGTTGTCACACTTTGATTCCTAAAATTAGAATTACAGTAGTTAATTTTACCGCCACACCACCCAGTTAAACACTGTACTGCGGTGTCCCTCAGGACTCATTTAGTTTAAAACTCGGGTTGAAACACGACGACCCTCTTTAAGGGAAGATAGTATTATACGGGTGTGATTCCTGATACACTTTGACTCCTGTGAAACTTTGATTCCTGGAATACACTTTGATTCATAGGAAATACTTTAATTTCCAGGAAACACCTTGATCCTTGAAAAATTTATTGCAAGAGGATACTTTGATATTTGGAAAATGTTTTTATTCCTACCCATGCGTCCATCTGTTGTTTGTCTCTGTTGCTTTTACATTTTTACTTTTATCTTCTTCGCCACTGATCGGCTTGTTAGCCGCTTGGGCGGTCGTTTACGTCTCTGTTTCCCTGTTTATAATTTATGTCTCCCGTTTAATAAGTCAAATTTTAATTTCTGGAATTAGTAGATGTAGCCCCACTATGGGTCACAGCCTCAGATTACAGGAGCCACAAGTTCAGAAAATTATCAGGGTAAACTCTCTTTGGAGTTAAAGATGTGAACTCTTAGAATAACTTGCTAGAAAATATTGTGACGGCCCCAAGTGTGAGCTCATTCGAGACCAGGTACAGATACATTCTAGAGCCAGTCCATGCCCGCATTACGAGCTCTTTCAAGACCAGACTTGACAAGCACTGGAGCAGGTTCAGATACATTCAGGAGCCAGTTCATGCCCAGTACTTTTCAACAGGTGTAACAGAGACGTGACCAGTCGCCCAAGCGGCTACAATCCGATTTGTGGTGAAGCGAGGATAAAGTAAATTATCTCATTGTGAGGGAGTGTGTATGTTTTTGTTTGCTATTCACAGGTAAGCCAAATACAATTTTATCTATTTATTATACTTAATAGTGTTATAAAACATATCTATTTTTATGAAGGTAAGAGACTTCCAATGTTTATAAGAATGCTTTCCTTTAGGTGGCCAGTAGATAAATAAGGTAATTAAACTTGAAATAAAAATATTGCAGTCACACATCTGATTTATTTATATTTATTGACTATTTCACGAAGATTGCTCATAATCGCAGTAGTAATGAGAAATTTAAAGGCTAAACATGGGAGTTGCGGTATGATATACGTTCTCGTGTCCCCAACAATTATGTTGTGTATTTGAGGGCAGATAGTGTTCATGCGTTCTAATATTTTAATAGCTTATTTAGTTATTGGTTTAATGTAGATAAATATAATATGAAGAAACTTACATGAGAACAAAAGTTTTTATAATCTTTAGAGCAGTACCCTTGGGGGAACAATTTTCCAGCTTCTTCATAATTTCCGCGCGTCGTCCTGCCGGTGTTGACTTTTGAGTGACTTGCATGAACATGACGTCCCGCAGAAAAACTAAGAAAAACTCCAGTAAGTATAGCCAGGATCATGGTTGTCAACTCACGAGATGTTCTTTGACAAGTGACTTATGAGTGTGTCGTGTCAGGAAGAATCTTGGTCACCGGAAACAGAAGGAAGAGTCAAGATTGGTGAAGTGTTTTTTCTCTGACGAGACTATGGCTGATGGGCGCTGCCACAAGCTGCTTTTGAAAGCATTAATTATCTCGTTGTGAAGCTCAGAGGAGGGAAAAGTAAATTTTCATAGTGGTGCCAATATTATGTTTATATTTCGTGTGATTTTTCCCACTTAAGGTTTGATTAGACGCTCCACACACGAGAAACAAGTGTTAAGACTTGAGAGACTCGCCTCCAATGATGCTAAGTAGCGACTTGCCACCGAAGTCGTGACTGCAAGTTCCTCTCATCTTTCTATTTTATGAGGACCAATATACACCATTTTGGACCAATTTTTAGTGTTATTCAGCATTTTCAAAGATGTGTCAACTAATAGCATATGTAAATTATTGGAAACTAAATCAAGTATTTTGGTAAACACGAGCACCAGGGTAAAGGTGGAGGAAACAGTTATCACCTGAAGGACTTTTGGAATTGTACCTAAATTTCCGGAGATGTTATTTGCATGGTACTAAATAATGATATTGATGTGAAAAGGATGCACAGAACCTGACCTAACTTAACCTACCTAACTTCCTAACGGGGGAGGGGGGGGCAGAGGATCCTCCCCTGTATATTTTTTTAGTCATATTAATTTGGTAACGGACCCCCTAATAGCAGAAGGAACTTGGCTTAATATTGAGGTCTCTGAAACAAATAATGTCGGTTGAATGTCACCTCTCTGCTGTATGTTGAACACTTGCACATCCCACCAAGAAGTCCATGATTACATATTAAGTCTTTAACACAGTCTTAATCCTCACCATGCACAGATAGCTTGCAATAACTTATCGATTTTTCATTAGACAACATCATAATTGCGTACATGAAACACCAGATACAGAACATCCCCATGTGGAAGAACATTAATAATAGGAACCTACAGTTGAATTCGATTCCAATGCAACTCCAATTTCAAATGTAAGGTATCTAAACCCTTATTGCAGATATCAATCTCAACCATATGCTGCTGATCCTGTATGTATATACAGTACTGTACTTAGAAGAAAGGCTGATGTACGACTCATGGCCGTCTGCGGTTCGTTAATTATTGGGGGGGGGGTGTTTAGACACAGTATTGTACGCTGATTACTTTCACTTCTGTTCATTTTCTTGGGCAAATGCTTAGTTTTCTAGGTGAAATTTTAGTTTCGGTCATCCCTGGATTTAAATATTCAAACTAGGTTTCTCCGACGAACCTAATTTAACCTAACCTAACCAACCTAACCTTATCTAGCTACAGAACCCAGGAACTGTTTCTAACCTACCCCAGGAAGCTGACCCCCCCCGACCCCCCATTTCCAGTGGGGAACTCCAATAGTTAAATTCTATGATACCCCAGATGACTGAAACTAAAGTACTGTTTTCTAGATATATTCAAGTTAAGATAGCATTCTTACAGTCACGACATCAGCTGTGATGTGGCAGATGTAAACAATGTACCATGAGGGCTAATATACGAAACATGGCTGTCAGCGGTTCGGTAATTATGAGGGTGTTTGTAGACACAGATTTGTATGCTGATTACTTTCAGTGCTATTCATTTTCTTGTATAAATGCTTAGTTTTCTAGATATAGGTTAGATTAGCATATGATTTCAGCTATTTTTATTTTTCCCCAACATAATACAGTATCCTCTAAGAAAATATGTGAAAACTGGGTATTTTTAAACCCATTTTCAATGAAAAACAACAGACAGTCATGTTCTCAATAATTACCAGAAGAGGTTATGGTACTTATTGCTCAGTAATGAAATATAAAGAATATGCACAAACATACAGTAGTCAGAAATCAGGAAACTGAATCCAATAGAATACGAAACAAAAGACAAGCAAACCATTATTGATGGTACTATACAGTATTACAAACTCCTGGATGAGATCCTCCATCGTTTTTTGTACATATTAACAAGACCAGATTCACTCCCTTATATCTTAAGAGTAGACCAGCGCGATCGTTGCCACAGGAGAATTTATGCCGCCATGTTCAGGGACCTGTACTGTAATTGTAATTTGAAATAAATTCTGGAAGAGCTTCACCAGTTTATTAGCTATGTTTACAGGAACTTTTAATCATAGGAATTGTATTGAAATGCTTTTGTTGAAATATATTGTGGGTGGACAAAATTAGACTAAAATAAATGATCGTCTGTAGCTCAAGTACTACTACCTATACCTTTCAGCATTACAGTCTCTGCAGAAGATTAATTATTCCAGTAATCTTTTATTTAACTTTAGTCTAGCCTAAACTACCTGAACTTCAGCTTCTGTAATACATTAATATTTGATAATCATGTAATCGTCCTCCCAGCATTCCAAGATCACTTGTAATTCTTGGTCTGCAGTGATCCAACTAATATATTCTGCTAACAGCAGAAACAGTGGGAGTAATGCAATTTTTAGTTTGTCTTCTTTTACTTAATAGAAATTACTGTAATATTTAGATTAGTGTGATTTATTTTTTCCAAGAAACATTTGTCTTTTGCTGCTCATATAAACAATTGATAATGGTGGTGCCATGGAGCTACCACTTCAACAGAGTTTTGTATTTTTTTCATGAAGTTGAATCTTCTCATGAGTTGGTTATCTAGACTAATACCTTCCATCTTAGGTTATGTAGGTTTTGTTAGTTCCACCAGGTATGGGGTGTGGTCTTAAGACTACAGCACTAAGATAATATAGTATTCTCATTCCCTTGGAGAATATAGTCTTGAAGCAGACTCTTCTTATTCCACCCGAGTATTAGTCAGATCTACATGTAATATTATTCTATGCTCCATTATATGATCATCTTTAACCCTTTAGCTTTGTATTTTGTTTTTGTGGCCAGTTCACTGCCAAAAATGGAAGTGTACATACTGTATGATCTTTTTTATTAAAAATTTTATGCAAAAAGATCATAAAGTTTCTGGATCTGCCAATAAGACAGATTGAAACTGCTGTTTTGTGGTGAAAATATCCCCCTTTTTTTTTACTGTTGAAAATACAGAGTACAGTACTATATATCTCCGCTAGCCGGAATCCCTCAAACCCAGAACTCTCTGATAGCTGGAATTGAAATTTTATCGGAAAATCATTCCCAAAGCCGGAATTTTCCGGAAAATTCCAGCTCTGGGAATGATTTTCCAAGGGGCACATTTTCCGGAAAATTCTGAGAAAAATTTCCCGATACCTGTAAAATTCCGGGGATGGGGGAGTTTTTCCCAGAAGTGCTCTGCACCAATTGTTCCAGCAAACGGAGATATCACTGTACAGTATGTCCATGCTGGCCTGGCCCATAAGCCACACTGCTTTTCTATACTAATAGCTGATTGGTTCATAGAAAATTTTAATCTAAGTGTGTGCACAAATGGTAAGCTGACCTGTTATCTAAAATAATGTTAAATATCTGGACTATCAAAATGCAAATGAATTCAAGGCATTAACACATCAGAGAGGATGTTGGAAAATTTTTAAAATTTATCATAAAAGGTTGATATAAATACATGCTTATATATGTGCAGTCTAGGGGGAGGTTAAATGCTCGGGGTAACCAATCAGCTATTTGTAGCAATAGACGAGGGGCGTGGCGTATGGGTCAGGTTAGCGTGGAAAGGGTATAGTGCCTGAAGCCTTGGCAAATTATAGGATAGTAAAAAAAAAAACATAGTATTATTACATTATTATGTAATACTAAGCAAACACTGATACCATTTCTACATATACTGATGTAGTTATGTCTATTATCAGCAGTACAGTAAACCGTTGCCATTCGTGAGGGATAGATTCCAAGAAATGGCTCGAATTGGCAAAGCCGTGAATAGCCACTTATATAATACAGTACCCTAGTGCACTAATATACAGGTATACCTATGCTGTGTATGAGAAACATAAGTCACAATACTGTACTGTACTTACATTCATATGTGGAAGTCTGGAGCCTTCTCAATTTTCACTACCGGGTATGTTCTTGTCACGAACAACCTGCTCCACTTAAGCACTTGCAGGAGCACTTGCTTGAACAGAATCTCGAATTGCTTGCTCATTCTTTCTTATGTACTGTACCGCGCTGTGGATTCGTTCACACCAAACAACCGACCAACCGCGATAGCACTCATCCCCTCCTTTAACTTGTCTAATAATTCAACTTTCTTTGCTAGAGTCATCACTGACTTTTGCCATTTATGTTTCACTCCACTAACATCACTAGCACTGACACTAGGCAGTCTTTTTGGGGTCATTTTCACGAAGAAACACGAAAGTTTTGAGAATATGACACAAGATGCTTGGTCATGGGTGCTGGGTGAGGGCAAACAGAGCGAGCTGAGACACCGCGGGCGCGTGGGGCGACTTGTTGCGCTGGGGGAGATGGCTTGCATGCTAGCCACCTGAGCCACCAGGTGCTTACCGTGAATCGTAAACTCGTGAATGGGAAGGGTTTATTGTACAAAATGTACTACGTGGGAGTGGTAAGAGAATAAAATTTCATTTCTCCCCCTGCTTTATATAAATGTTTTGGGTTATACAGTATATCACTGTAATGTGTAGTTAAAGGTAAAATATGCATATATGGTGTACATAGGTCTTCAACTTATATACCTATTAAATGGTGACAAAATTAACAGCCACATGCACCCCAGCTGATCGTGTTGACATGTGGTCTTTTGTCATGCTGGCGCTAAAGTTGGTTTAAAATGGTTGAATGTCGTAGCGAAGCCAATAAAAAAATTCATGCAACAACAGTCACTGTATCAGAATCCTTCAGAGAGCACAACAGCCTGGTTAACAGTTCTAGTTGATTAGGGGGGCAAATAAAAATTAGGTTGTAGAGATAAGTAATGTGTTTGCCTGCATAGCTTTATTTAGTTTTCTACAACTTATTCCTGTCCATTGCAGATGAGAGTACAGAGGAAAGAAGGACACCCAGGAAACGAGGAAGGGCCGAAGGTTCTACATCCAGTACTGCTGCAGTTACCCCACCAGAGACTGGGCGGGGCCAGAGTAGGAGTGCCACACAAACCAGTCCATCGCAGGTTTCCCCGGAATCACCGCCAAGAAAATCCCTTCGAAATGCTGCCACACCAGATAATCCACGGAGAACTAGCCCAAGGGGAGTTGATGGGGGACTCAGACCTGCTGCAACCAAGGAATCTCCTAAAAGTGTTTCTCCTAGAGGAAGAGGTCGGGGAAGTCGTAGGGGAAGTACAGATTCTAGTGCCAGCAGTGTGGGGAATGTCAGTGTTGCCTCTTCTTCCACTCCACGTAAACGAGGGCGAAGAGGGAGCAACAGTTCAGGAGTAAGTGCAACTTCAGAGAGCTCACAGGCTACACCAAGTAAGCAAACCAACAGAGGACGTAAAAGAAATAAATCCAACACTCCGCCTGCAGTTCTTTCAAAGAAAACCAATGGAGCATCACCTCAGTATTCACCTAGAACCACTAAAAGAATGAAGGCCAGTAACCCAGCAGGAACCTCTGGACCAGCTGCAAATGGGCGAAATGGTCGCAGAATTCGGAGCAAAAGGGGAGTGAGTGAAACGCCACCGAAGGAAGACCTAGATGGTGGCACAGATGATGAAGAGTTGTCTCATTCAAGAACTGGTGAGAACAGTACACTTGAGAACTCAACAGACATTTCGAACCTTGAAACATCAGGAGAACTGCACAACAACACATCTCCTAATGCCAGTGATGTTGAAGAGGGAGAAGGTGGGGTTAGTAAAGGTGAAACTATTCAACATGTTGATGATAAAGAGTCAGGTGAATCCATAAATAAAGATCAATTAGTGAACAGCAGGGAGGTTCAGCAACAAAATGAAAAAGAAAGTGAATCTTGTGAAAATGAGGTCCCACAACTGTCAGAAAAGGACAGTGGGTTATTTGAAAAAGATGTCCCACAACAATCTGATAGACAAAGCAAGGTGTGTGAAAATTCTGAGAAGCAAAACAATTCCTCTGAAAAAGAACATATTGAAAAACACAAAGATATCAATTTTCCAGCTTCACATAGTGTTTCGGCTGATCTTGAGGATGTGGCAGAAAAGAGCAGACTCAGCACTCCAGATGGTGCAGGTGCAAGAACGTGTGATAAGGCTGTCAAAAGTGAAGGGACAAGTTTGACCACATCAGTGGAATCATCTACAAATAGTTCTAGTCACATGGAAAGTGCAAAGAGGAGACAGACTAGTGGTGAATCCTCAGATTCTGGAAGTCCAGAAATAAAACCAAAACCTTCTAAGGTGGCGAGACTGACTGAGAGCACATTGGTACCTGATATTCCCAAGAGTGTAAAAACTCATGACATGATAAAGATTTGAGTAGAGTAAAGTTTAAGGAAAGTAATAGACTTGATAAAGGCAATGATAGAAATTTAGACAGAGGGAAATGTGATGGAAGTAATGAGAAGGATAGCTCTGAGTGTGTGAAATGTGTAAATCCAGAAGTACAGGGTGATGTAGGAATGGACACAGTGACTCGAGCAGAAAGTTTCCTGGAATCTCTCAGCCTTACAGAACAACAGATAAAAGAAGTTTGTTCAGTTCTTCCGGATTCTGTGAAAGGTAAGAAACCCTATATCCAGTTTGTTCTGTAAATATGAAATGTTGCACTGCTTCAAACTTTGTAACACTAATGCTTCCATGAGGTACCAAACAATAGAATAGATACATGCAGATTTTGGCAGAATACAATATACAGTTCTTTTTCTGTAACTTTAACCCAGAAATGGAAAATAAAATGACATGAAAGTTAAAAATATATTTAGAAGCCCCCCCACCACCACCAAAAAAGAAAGAAAAAAAGTAAAATAAAATAAAAAAATAAATAAATTAAAATAAAAAACTTAGTACAATACTCATCATGGATGCCAGCTGAGTCTATAAAGTGAGGTGAAGAGTAATTGGTAACTGCTGAGTGCTGGTTGTTGTGATGCAAGAGGTGGTTGTGGTGGTGAGTTTTTGTGGAGCAAAGTGGGCGGTAATGCCATTACATAGGTGATGAGCTCTTGAGGACGAGGAAGGGGGAGGTGGGGGATGAGGCAAATAATTGCAAATCATTCCATGATGATGATAGCAAGTTGATTTGAGGCTCCACCAGCCTTGTGTCTAACCAGTCTCTCCCAATAATTGACTACCCATTCTTAGTATGATTTTTGGTTCACAGCTTTAAAGGCCATAGACGATAATAGCAGTAAAAGGGTTAATGCCAGTTGGGGTGACAAGTGTATAAAATCCGTCAAAGTACTGTACAGATGTATATGGATTTTTACGCGGACAAGCTCAAGCTAAGGCAATAAGGGCCTCATTCAAAGATGAGCCATCTCTCCCATGAAGTACATTGTCCTACTGGGGAAACCAGAGGTCTCAGCTTACACTGAAAACCTATGAGGTAATGAATGGAGACTTTCCTTGTAGGAACTTTCCAAGATGGCATTTCTTTGTACACCTGAATGCTACTGCTCAGCTGTAACCCCAGACATTTTAATTGGGCATTAGTTGTAAGGGCAATTGCTTAGTCTGGAATAAGGTGATGCCCTCTAAGTTATTGTCTTAGGAGTTTGTCCATTAGTAAACTTAATCATGACCATGATGTAGAATAAATAGTAATTTCCAGTTTATGTATTTCTTGTACTGTACTGTATAGGGGTGCACAGAATAGTAAATTACCGGATATCCAGCAAACCAGTCAGGCTGGTTTCCATATATCAGGCCAGATAGCAAAAGTTGACCAGATGGGCTAGCTACCAGATACCTGCTGGATATCCACTGCATCCCTAATAAATTTGTGTACTAATCACTGATGTTGAGGGTATATAGAAGACACATCAAATTACTTTTTAAGCACCATGCAGTTCCAACACATTTAACTGCTTTTCGTTAATATTGTAACCATCCAGATTTAAAATATCCAGATATCCAGCCAGTTATTGGAGTACCATCCAGCTGTTTGGCCAGGTATTATACTTGCTGAATGGCCAGTGTATCCCTATTCTTGTAGCTACCTTGGGAATGTTCCTTGGGGGTAGACATTTTCCACCGACTACAACAATGTTTTGTTTTTAGGACTGAGTAGGGAGAAGTGAGGTCTTGTGCTCTTGTTCTTGATTTTGTCAGTTAATACTATTTTAATCCAAATTTTCTGTATACTGTATAGTAATCTAACCAAACTTCCTTTACCCCTATGTAGTTTTAATTAAGTTTACACACACACCGGTATTTATTATAGTTTAAGTGTTTTGTGGTTCAGAATACGGTGCTGAAATGCAATTTTGGATATGTGGCAGTTAAGTATACGTACTGCATATAAATAATCAATGGTCTGGTAAGATTTGCTCCAAAATATTTATTCCAACCCAGACAATACCTGTATATATACTGTACCTGTAGATACATAGGAGAGGAAACACTACATAAGCTGCATAAGTGAAAAATGGATCATATGGTACTGGGACTGAATTAATGTAGTACTGTATTACCCACCTACAGGGCCATACAGTACAATACATGTATTTGTTCAGAGAGTCAGTCACAACCTGGTGTATCTGTATTACATTTACAGGAACTCAAATTTGGTCTGTCCCGTACAGTACTATATTTCATTATTTAATTGTATTAAGATTTTATATTTCCGGGTAATGTTATGTACCAATTCCAGGTATGTACTTTAAATAAAGTTTGACTATTCACAGCTGTTGAAGAGTGGGCAGGACTACTATCTCACTTGTACTAAAATTTAATATACAGAACTGCTGTGTGTTTCATCCCAGGGATTGTAAAATACCAGGATACTGCTGTATGCATGAGACATTCACTTTTAAAGGACTGCTATAAGCACAAAAACTAAAAATTTCTTTGTTTCTCTTGTTAATGTATCTTTTGTTTTGGTTTTAATTTTAGATTCTTCGGAGACAAGAATAGTAGAATCCTTAGTGGAGACCCAGCTGGAAGGATCAAACACAGTAACCACCATGAATGCTCCACGCTTCAACAAGTTCCTCAGGCAATTATTAACGCACTATTGTGATCTTGACACTACCAAGGAGAGCAAACATGCACTCTGTGAGGTACCGTACAATGATTGTTGTTTATGTAATACTGTACTGTAGTTAGGAATGATATGTTGATGTTGAATCCACTGCATTTGTCAGATACAGTTGCTACGAAAGTGGTGAATAGATTATCATACTTTAGTTACCTTCAGAAACCTGCCATGGCTACCCCCATCTTATGCCCTTCACCTCCACTGCCTTGGTTTGGTTCTCTTATACTGTACTGTGCTTGGCATTTTAGTGTATTGACAATACTGTATGCTATAATAGTGCTGTATGTTGTATTGGTTGACTGGTAATTAAACATTCAGGTATGATCTTAAAAGTCAATAACATTGAAAAGCGTAGATGTAGATATTAAATAACTTCAGTGTAAAGGAACAATTTAGTTGACTAATAGTAGTGAGAGAAAGAACATGCACAAGCTTCTCAATAAAGCATTCATTACCACAACTTTTATTCAGTAATTCTTTTTTAAGTATCCATAACTGTAATTACATGCCTATTGTCACTCCATATTTCAGGAGTAAGGCATCATCCACACAAGTGAATGGTACTTGGTTCAATTTTCCATTTAGAGTTGAAGTCAGGTTCCCACTTTATACAATAACCTTTGCACACTTGGCTGTGAAAGAGTGCCTCGTCAATTGCACATGTCAATAGTTAGAGCAGCTGGATACAACACATAAATGGATCAGTACTTGGCAAGGCACCTTGCTTTAGTGAAAAAAAAACACACACACACATATATATAATATATATATATATATATATATATATATATATATATATATATATATATATATATATATATATATATATATATATATATATATATATATATATATATATATATATCATGTAAATTCACAATGAAAACGTGATAAGATAAATCTTGATAAAATCACACGGGAAAATGGAAACAACGGAGTACCTTACACGTGATTTTATATATATATATATATATATATATATATATATATATATATATATATATATATATATATATATATATATATATATATATATATATATATATATATATATATATCTTGATAAATCACACGGAAAATGGAAACAACGGAGTACCTTAGCTTTCGTCTTTATTCAAGACATCTTCAGAGGCAACTAGATTACATGGACAGAGAGAGGCTTAAATATACAGGGTGACCTAAAAACATGAGGTCAGGTCATAATGATGAGATCCACTAATCCCCACACCAACACAACCGTAGAGGAGCTTAAGAGAAGGGAGGTGACGTGACTAGACAGGTCAGGTCAGAAAAAAGGACCCACAAAATAACTGTCATACATCAAGATCAAAGGTTTTCAAAGCAGTTTTAACCTTGGGCCACTGACAAATAAATTTATGTAACATATTATCAGTTTTGAACTGACCATCACTAAGGTTTATTGATTTTAATTCCTTAATCAAACTAGCTTCAACCAGAAGTCTTTCTGTGACACAAGATGATTTGAATACTTCTAAGCTTTTTTCCCAAGCAATGGGGTGATTATTATTCCTAACATGAACGAACAAGGCACTGCTTTCAGATGCAGTTCTGATATTATACTTATGTTGTTTGATTCTGAGCTGCAGTGTTTTTCCTGTCTGACCTACATAATTACAATTACATTGGCTACATGGAATACAATAAACACTTCCATTTACATTCAAACTTGGGCTATTCCTTATTAACATATTGGTAATGGTTGAGTCATACTTGAAAACAACAAGATTTATCTTATCCACTTTTCATTGTGGATTTATGAATATATATATATATATATATATATATATATATATATATATATATATATATATATATATATATATATATATATATATATATATATATATATATATATATATATATATATATATATATATATATATATATATATATATATATATATATATATATATATATATATATATATATATATATATATATATATATATATATATATATATATATATATATATATATATACATACATACATACATACATACAAGTAGTTAGTTATGTTTGATATTTTAACATGTTTGCTATTTTCAGAAAGCAGTGCAGTGGGCACGAGACAGAAAAAGTGTGAACCTTCGACATGAGTTAGAGCTAACACTGATGTCCTTGTACTACAGTACCTATCACTATAAACAAGCAGAGACTGTTGCCAGTGCCCTCTATTCTGAAACCAAAAAGTTACAAGATAAAGAAAAAACAGTGAAGGTAAGTTGTTCCAGAGTTATGTTGCAGATGCACTGTGGATAGGAAAATAGGCTATACAGTGTTGTGAGAGGGAAAGGTGAAGCAGGGCAAAATAAGTATGCAATGGATTGGCAGCCAAGAGGCTCTTTTACTGTGACTACCAGCTTAGAGGAGAGTTCCCTTAGGGAGTGTGGCATTGTATATGAGAATACAATTATGGTGTGGCATAACAGCAAGCATTGATTTCCTATCAGAAACATGTTACTCTTCTTTTTTCCCAGTAGGTGGTCTGATAAGGGATAGTACAGTACAAAATATTCCTTGAATTTTTTATGAGATCATGAATACTTCATGAATTTACACCTTCTATTCCTGTTATCAGAGCTGCTGCAACGTTTATGCTCTTTACTATTTAAGTAAATGCAGTGGTTACAGCATTTGTTTTAATTGTCTCTAGTCTCTTCTTTATCTGGCCAGTCAGGAGGGAAGCTGTAGGTGTCACCAACCATATTTTTTATCATAATTTTTGTCTTCCATGAAGTTTTGGTTAAAATTTCATATCTAGTGATTTTCTGCCGAAGAGTTGGTACAAAAGGTGTTACAGTTGTATTAATCAGTACATATACCTTAGTATACTGTATACCCAGTACTAGTCTTGTCTGAAACTATTGTTGATTTATATAATGCATATACTGTATTATTGTTTTGTTACATACAAAGTTTTTGGCTCTTAGCAAACAAACAAACAAAACTAATATTTGTTTTGGGTGGAGAATTAACTATTTTCCATCTTGGAAAATACCAACCATAGGACTATATACAGTAAGTATAGTAATGAGTAAAGTACAGTATACTGTACAGTATAGTGATTATAATAAGAGTGTAAGAAGACTTACATAGTCTGGGGTAAGTTATTGAGGGGCAGAGTAAGCCAAGTTGAACAGGTAACATTTGGCTGCTTCTTCATGGACAAAAAAAAAGAAGAGCAATGTAAGTGGAAACTACCTAAAATATTACACTACTGTATGAGTGTAGGTGTAGGCTTGCAGTTAACCTAGTCTATTTATACAGTAATTGGTGCAATCTGTACTATCTGGCTGGATTTTTTTATACTACACTGTACCTGTATCTGATATTTTGCCAGAAAGTAAAATTTGCTATCCGTTACATCTATAATCATCAGTATTAGTCCTGATCTTAACACCCAATCCTTTAGCAGGTTTTTTCAGGCAGTGTAACTCTTGTCTCTCTCCACAGGCGTGCTTGTGCCTAAGTCAAGTGTACCATGCCATGGGCAATATCTCCAAGGCTCGGGCCAACATAACTACAGCTAAAACAGAGGCTCTCAAGATCTATACACCTCCAGATATGCAAGGAGAACTTGATCTCCAATCAGGTACTGTATATAAATATACAGTATATACTGTAGATAATATGCATTTTTTATTTTTATTTTTACTTGTTTGTCCATCAGAAATGTTACAGTAAACTACAATTAACTGGTAATTAATCTTCTACTTAGTCAGTGAAGGTAAATAATAGCTGCTGGTTGTTAGGCATTGTTTTTTCCCCAACATATAGTTTGGTTGTCTGTGTACTACTCTGCTAGCCAGATACAACACATTTGCATACTGTTTGCAAACCTTCAAAGAAAGATCAATTACCACTGAAGTGAAAAGAATGTTTAGGCTTAAATGTGTCAAAGTGTTTAGACAACCATCAACATAGAAAGAGTTAATCGTGCAGACAACTAGGTATACATCATGAGGGAGCAATACAGAAGTGATGGAAGTGTTGTAGAGAGAGCTGACCAGGGTGTGTTGAGGTGGTCTGGATAGCTTTAGAGAATGTGAGGTGAAGAAGTAGGTTAAAACTAAATATACAGTAGTCAGGATAATTTACACGCAGACAAATTATTGTTTACATTATAAAGATAAAAAAAATTATTGGGTGACAAAGACTATACTATGATTTTTTGAGGATTTGGAGGGTGAAAATATATTGGTTTAGAATTAAAGCACTTAGTAACATCTTATTAGTTAACCTGGCTTGCTGTTTAGAAACCTTATCAGCCTTGTTGAAAGTTTACAAGACATAATTGAAGAATCTATTGTTGATTTTACACACTGCCACCATCACCACTACCAGACAACATCATGATCACTACCACCACTTAGGGAGCACATCTCACTTAGAGGTCTCGCCCAGTTCCTTGCTTACCTTACACCTCACCTCACTCAACTTAGCTCATATGGTGGTGTTCTCACTATTTCATGCAGTGTCATTTCTGAGTGAGAGATCCTTCACATGTTAATGCACTTGCCACACTATCCATGCTTCTTCCCCTCCAGTTACCTGACTTCTTTCCTTTGATTATCCTGCCATTTGAAGTGCCTCTATGTTCTTCATGTTAATTATGTGTGAGGGTCATTATTGAGTGGTTAGTAGACAGTTAATGCTCTGTGAGGGTTGTAGAGCAGTGTTCAATGTAGGTGGAAAAAAAATTGTCGTTATGGCTGGTACATATATCAGTGGTGCTGGGAATTTGACACAATTTTTCCATTACATTACTTAATATAATTTTTACCCAAATCCCTTAGGGGTTCAATATCGTGTAAATGCAAATCTACTGTACGGTATTATTTAATATACAAATGGTTAGAGAGGAACCCAATCAGTTTTGCAAAAACTTAGTTATGCCTGATTATCCCTGGGTCATATAGGAACATAACCCCACAGATTTTTGGGGAGTTTACTATAAAGTAGTTCGTCTGTTGTTCGTATACAAGAATGAAGGCTGGCAGTATGTGTGTCTCAGTGTAGAAATGAAAGCACATTAACAAGTGTATTGTACCGAGATGTGCTGCTGTCATGAAGGAACGAACCTACATTGGCTACCGTACTGTGACTTGTATATATTATTTAGGCATGTGCACAGTAATTGACGATCACTTTTCATTTCCCCTGTGGACGAAACTGTTCTGCAGTTATTCTCTGATACATTATGCAATAAGAATATAATGTAGAGTAATAAAACTGGTGTTTAATAATTTATATAAACATTATTCTTATACTCATCAGTCTTTTCACTTTGACAAATGCATTCTTATATACCCTTTAGAATTTCTTTCAGGCCCCATCATTAACAATCATAATTCTACTGATTTTTAGGCATTATGCAAGTAGCTGAGGGTAAGGATATGGAAACAGCATATTCCTACTTTAAAGAGGCAGCAACAGGCTTCACCTCTCGCAAGCAAAGAGCACGAGCACTCAAGTACATGTTGCTGTCCAAGATTATGGTCAACAGGTAAGTATACTATTGCATGCGTCGGTCCCCACTTCTCTGTTTCTGTTCATGGCTTTATCTCTTCTTATTATTTATTCTTTGATTTTTCTTAGTCTAGTAATCCATTGATATAAGATAACTTGTATTTCTTTCTTATGTCCACCATTACACAGTCAGACAATCCTCTTCCACCTCCATGTGTATCTGTTGATATTTTTCTTTTTAAATCAAGTTTTCCACAGTTGTCAGGGGCCATCAGTTATTTTAACCCACCTCTCACTCCTTACTTAATTGATTGTGGGGTTGACCTCCACATTTGATCACTCGTTCAGACACTTGTGACTTTACTCTTATTTATCCCCAGGTGAACCACACTTTAATGCAGTGTGCAGTATTTACATAATGTAGAAATACAAAAGTCTACAGCCTCAAAGTAACATCTGTGAAAAAGTTATCTTTTATTTTAGAAAAGGTTTTGATTAAGGCGACATGTTAAAAAAATCCTTTTATCCTTTGCAGGGTTTGCTGAAGTACAAAAGACTCTCTTGTTGAGTCCTAGAAGAGCTTATTTAATAATATAAAGAACTTTTTTCTTCTAAGGGCTGAGGACGGAGAAAAGGCAGTGAGAAGCCAAAGTCACATTGAAGACATTGACGAGGGTGTGGAAGCAATGCTGGCTATAGCAAGCGCTGCCAACAGGTCCTCGCTTGCAGAGTTCAGGTAAGGTTGATCCCATTTTCTCTGAAATAATTGAAGGAATAACTGTATTTAATGACCTAATTACTCAACACTTGGTAATGGATATACTGTAGTATATTGAAAACTAATTGAGGGATAGTTGTACTGATGAGGCCATAATGCCTAAAGTGCAGAAACTGAGATTCACTTATCAGTGATTCTTGATCCTATTTTGCAGGAAGACTCGGGAGCAGTATGAAGAGCACTTGGTAGGGGACATGGTTGTTGCGAGTGTACTGGATGATCTCTACACCACCATGATGGAGAAGAACCTCCTCAACATTGTCTTACCTTATGAACGTTTACAGGTGACTGGATTATTTTATTTAACATTGTTATTAGTTTGTTTTCATTCCCAAATGCTTGGTTTGGTTGAATCTCATCTTACCAACCAAAGCCAATGAGTTGACATCCCAGGTCCAACAACCTTAGTGGTTGGAATGAATTTAATCACAGCCATTGTTTATAAAAAAGGAAATTAGAGGTGACAGCTGCCACTGAAGGTTTTCCAACCTTGCTGTCACCTTACCCATGTGCTCTTGACCTTCACTTGGTTGTTATAAGCCATCCTAGAGTTGGTTCCTCAGTTTCAGCCATCTGTGCAGTGAACAGTTGTCTTTCTCTGCTTCATCCTTTTGTTGAGAGCTAAGTGTGCAAGAGTATTTATAATTGTCTAAACCTAGTTTTAGTTTAACTGTGTTCATATATGGGACCACATAACAGTACCATGTCTTGGGACACCCTCGATTGTACAAGGTGCAGCTCATCTTGTCATATGATAGTCCTCGCTCTACCAGATGCAATTGTGGATAGTGTTGAATATGAAAATGGAGAGTGTAAAATACCAAACATCACACAGTTTTGAATACTCCTGCTTCTAAAGTTTCCCAAGGTTGAGGTTAAAATTGCTAGCAAGGATGCAGCCTGAAGGCTGCACTTACACTCAGCAGTCCCTACTGGTGACCTTCTGAACAAGAGGGATACCAGTCAACCCATTTTCCTGTTGTGGCTTGTCAGAAAAGTAGTGACTTATCACCATCCTAGGGTTGGGAATGGGGGATGCTTCTCCTCGCATCATCTAGGCTGCCTCTGGTTTAGGTTTGGTTCCAGTTTTGAGTCAGGATAAGTTAGGGGAGGTAGCCATGATTACCATTCCCACTAATACAGATATAATTGATGTGCTCCTTGAACTTAATGTAAATTATGATTTAATGAATTGTAATAAGTATGTGGCAGTTTGTGATTAATTAAATATTTCTTTCTCTAGATTGATCACATTGCGGGTCGCATCAACCTGCCCAGAGAAGAGATTGAGAGGAGAATCTCACAGATGATTCTTGACAAGCGCATCAACGCCCAGCTAGATCATCGTGACGATTGCCTTTATGTGTATGCTTCTGAAGACTCGGATGTTGTGTATCAAAAAGGAATTGACATTCTCTCTCAGTTAGATAAGACAGTGTCACACCTCAACCGTAAAGTGAAGAAACTGTTGTAATGAAAGGCACACATAGGAATGACACGCCTCCTTGTGAGTTGAGAACCGCAAGTGTACAGTAACAATTTTGACTTTTGTATGTGGTCTGTGAGCGCAATATTATATTTCTAAGATTTGAAACTGTGAAATGAGTTTATTAACTGTAATAGCTAGCATTCAAATTATTTTATAGAGGACCTGAATTGGTTTTAAGACATTTAAGGAAAACTATTGATACACATTTGTTGTTGTCAGTTACTGATGTGATAAATGTGTCTTGAAGATGGTGTATAATACATTGTTGATAAAAGAGCAGTGCATATATATTCTGGGTACAGTACAGTACTCTTATTACAGGAGGTATCATTTTTGGGGAGAGGCATTTCTTCTCTTGTTTGTTAAATTGTTAGTGATGAAGAGAATATTTGGTTTATAGTAGATCTAACACACACACACACACACACACACACACACAAAACACACATGTATTCACAAAACTTGCATACACAAAACACACACACAAAACACACATGTATTCACAAAACTTGCATACACAAAACACACACTCACACAAAACACACATGTATTCACAAAACTTGCATACACACAAAACATACACACTGTCTAAACTTAAACACACTATCTTATACATGCACACAAAAAATACACATGCACAAAAACACACAAAACACATGTATATATAGAGTATACATATATATATATAGTTACATAAATACATATGCCTGTATATGCATTTCCATACTTACTAACATATGCATACAAAAACACACTCATTTATATATATATATATATATATATATATATATATATATATATATATATATATATATATATATATATATATATATATATATATATATATATATATATATATATATATATATATATATATATATATATATATATATATATATATATATATATATACATATATATATATACAGTATTGTAAAAGAGTTCCATATTTGGTGTAGTGAGACCGACATATAAATATATAACTGGTTTTGACCAAGATGACATAATGTAATACAAGTTGCATCATTTGTAACCCAGTTTTTGTTACAAGCAATCTGGACATCACTTTTGACTACTGGTATTTTTGGAATCTAGACTGATGCTCAAAAAGTACCACTTTCCAGGACTATCCATAATACTGGATAATGTAGGTGGTGGCAAGCCCACACTCCACAAAGTATCATAAAGTCTAACTCAGGTTTATTTAATGTGACACTGTTCTGAATTACCTCATGTGACTGCAAGTTCCAGTGTATGGGTGTTTTTAGTTTGTGTAGGATTTTTTTTTTTTTTTACCAAAATGTGAGAATTTTTCTTTAGAACTGGAGAAGAATGGCTCAGGTGATATTGTAAACACAAAGTATCTGTTCAGTACTTCCAGCAGTAACCCAGGAATTTTTCAAATGTTAGACTCCTGGGATAACAACTTTGCTCTGCTCATCCTTGTTTGCGTGTTCTTGCGGCAGTTTGTTTTGAACCTCGACTGTCCTTCTTTTGGCGTCACCGTATTGACACTACACCCTCTCTTGCAAAGATATGGAGGGTCGTTCTTTATTTGTGTGTATGATATGTCAGGAGGTCCTCAGTACTGTACAGTACCTCTATTATCCACATTTTTCTTACTGGGTCATACCTGTTCCTTATCCCTGTACTACCATGATCTATTATGAAACTTCATATATATATATAATATATATATATATATATATATATATATATATATATATATATATATATATATATATATATATATATATATATATATATATATATATATATATATATATATATATATATATATATATAATCTCTCCTCGACTTACGACGGGGTTTCGTCCCGACGACCTGGTCATAAGTCGAATTAGTCGTAAGTTGAAAATGTGAAAATAGTACATAGAAATTCTAAAATGAAATACAGTACAGTAAAAGTAATCAATAATGAAAAATTAATAAAGTTTTACTGTGCACTTACCTTTAATGTAGTCAGCTGAATGCACACGGGGCCTCAATAATTTTTTAATTTAAACATGGAGACTACATTAATTGGATGAAGCAGAGGATGAGACAGGGCTGGGTAGGTCATCAATTTTGCTTTCTTCAGACAGGCTAACATACTTGCTTGTTAAAGGCATTGGATCATCTTTAGGGAGTGAAGAGGCAGCAGTGGTGGGGCGTGAGGAGACAGCAGTGGGGGGACTTCTTAAAATATATGTCCAATTTAGACTGCACAGTTTGCCTTTTCTTTTCATTGTAAATCTCCCTGTAGCAAGCAAGTGCATCTTGGATCAGTCTGTCAACTTTTGCAAAACGCTCAACATTTTGATCCATTTCTTCAAACATTTGCCCCCCCCTTATTAATAGTAGCAAATGCCTCTGCCTTGTCCTTCAAAATTTTTGATATTGTCGAGTGAGAGAAGCCAAGGTCGCGTGAAATAGTTGCTCCCGTTTTTCATTTTCATATTGCATTATTATTTTAATTTATCATCTCAAAAGTATTTGACTGCCAACTTTTCTTATCAGCACCACGAGAACTCTCACTTTTACGCTTGCCAGCCATTTTAAAGGGAATTAGAAACAAAAATTTTGTCAGTACACAGTGCAATCACCAACAACAACGACAGTGAAACACCAACTGAGTGGGCTACGGCGTGGATGCTGTACACCATGAGGCGTCCCAGCCCACGCTGTCGCACGGGACAGAAACGTTTCGGTACTAGAAAATACGTAATTTGAAAAATATTTTATACAACTACGGCGATCGTATGTCCGGGTTGTCGTAAGTCGAGCAGGTCGAAAGTCGAGGAGTACCTATATATTTATTGGGCTCAGTGTTTAAAACCCATCATATCTGGATGAATCTGTTTGGGTTTTCATATTCATCAGAGCAACAACCTGAATTTCTTTTCCCATGATTGACTTTACTTAACACAGTATGTTCCTCCTTTTTTAACACCAAGTACAGAGTTGCCATTAAGAACAGGATGAAAGTACAGAAAGCAATTTAAGATTCATGTCTGTATATTATGTGTATGTGAGAAAGATTATTGCATTGATTTCAGCCAGTGTCTTTGAGTCCCAAATGTTAAGGCACTCTGACCAACTTGATAAATAATGTACCAAACAGATACTTCTCCACCCTTATATATCCTGGTTTTGAGTATTGGTCAGAGATTGAAAAAATTAACACTTAACACAACTATCATACATGGCCATATCAGAAGGACAACATTGCTGTGGCTGAATATGAACGCATTTCGCATTTCATAATTTTTATAATCGTACAGTATACAGTATATCATAGTCAAAATATGTACAAACATTATTTTACTGCTGACTGTAAGCATTTTTTTTTTCATGGAGTAAAGAGAGTGGATGGCCAAAAATGAGGAAGTACAGTATAAGGCATCTGGGTATTAAGAAGGTTATAGATACTAGAGCAAGTATGGAGTGAGCAGTGAATGCCTTAAATGTTGTTGAGTATGGTCTTTTGAAGTAGATAAAAAGAACAGCAAACAATGAGGTAGAAGAAAAGGGTGGAGGGATCTGCATAAATGTGCCAAGATGGTGGTTGTGTGGGGAAGTGAACTTGTATAATCCTCTTTGCTCTATAGTGGCAAAAACTTGAAACAAATGACAGTCGTAAAGATGGGTTGAGAATGCACTATGTTTTATTTTTATTTATGTAAGAAAAGGTTTCCTCAGTCCCTATGTGCCTGTCACTCATTTGTCTTTCTACCGTCACAACTGTGTGTGTGTGTGTATATGTGTGACCTGCTTTATTACATTAGGATTGTTTTAGATGCATTATATAGTTTCTTGCCACCTTACATTTGACAAAACAAAGTTTGGGTAGATACCCCGGTAATATGTTTTTGTCCATCTGGTGGGTTTCATTTTCTGTATGTTCCGACCTTTATATACAGACAAAATTAGTACAGTACAGTATTGTATTTTTATTGTGTGTGTGCTAATTTAGTTCATGTTTTTTTATGTTGATTTTAAATTTCAGCATTTAGCCCGTGAGTAATTTCACTTACCTGGGTCTCTCACTGCAAAAATGACCAAATCTTTTCACCATGTTTTTGTGTAACAATTTGCTTTGTTGCAGGTTACCAGCTGCATAACTCAGGAAATTTAATAGGACTTTCAAAACATTCTCTTAACTTGTAAAGAGTTACTTGGTGGCCATGCTGCAAGGTTGGCCTTATGTTACTGGATGGCCATTTATCAACCCTAAGGGTATGCTTTTGGTCCTTAATTAAAATTATTTAAGATGTGGTACAGTATGTGGAAGTGCTGCATTATCCTCACTTGAGTATGACAGGAGGTACAGTATACCATATGATTTATAATGAATGCTAGTAAAGCTTACTTGATGAATTTTATTAAAAGTTCTTATAATCAGAATGTACAGTAATGGCAGATGTTGCACTTACCTTCAAGCTTTGAATACAGTACAGTACGTATCTAGTTTTCTGATGATACTGAAATTTTTTGTTTATCTGATTGAAAATATATTTTTTGGGGTATTTTCTTATAAATATTATATTAGAAAGGATTCTGAGAAACTTCAGAGTTGTATGTTGTCACTCTTCAGTATGGTACAGTACTTGTTACTGAAGTTATCAGAATAAAAATACACGCGTGATACAATAGTGCTTGAGCAAGATACATTTAGCTCTTCAAACACCACAGAATTAACTTGCATGTAGAGCATAAATAATGTTAGTAATTAAGACAATTTTGAGGACCAACAGCTGTCTCTGGGATTATGACCTGTGACTATGCATTAAATGTGATTGGTGTATGCAAAGACTGCAGTTTGTTTTACCAATATTTTAAGTTTTGTTATTAAGTTATAGCTGCTCCCATAGTGTCAGAATCTGCCATATTTATTTTGTGACATGCGGAAGTAGCACCGACAAACATGAGTTTTGGATGTAAGAATAGTTCAGTGTGTGTTGAGAGAGAGTAATGTAAGGGCCATGATGAAAGATGAAAGCATGTAGAACTATTAATTGTAAGCAGACTTGAGTCTCACTGCAAGATGCCTTTGTCTAGATCCCAACTAGAGCTATAGTAATATGTCTTCCTGTGTGAAGATGCCTGTGATTGAGATTATAGACTTGTATGAGTAATAGAAAAGGTTTAAAGAGGTGTTCAAGTTGATAAATGATGGATTCAACAGATAAAATATGAAACTAATCCCGGTTTTTTGTTTTTGTACCAGAGGCATAGTGTGATACAAAATTATTTACTATTCTAAAAAAAATTATGAAATCATTAATGGGTATCATGTAGCTTTGAGAAGTTCTGTAAATAAAGGAAATTGTTTTTTATTGACTCTCTTTTAAACCTTTTATTGCTTAATTCAGGGTGGACAGTAACAAGTGAATACCCAAGTTATCCCGTTATTCACTGATATATGTACTGTATGTGTTATGCTTTGCTATTCCCCCTTCAACAGCTCTTTCTTCCCAAAACAACACACGAGTCCTTTGATGTCCGTGCTTGTTACTTCCAGTGTGTACTTTAAATGGGCATCTTTTCATCTTGATCTTCCTAGCTCCATTTACCTGTGAACTGGATGCACTATTTACCACTACAGTACCTGTTCTCTCAGTATGTCATTACTACCTGAGAAGACACTTTCATTTTTACTCCATATCCAACACTTTTCTGTTTTATTCTCTACAGCCTATTGTTCTTGAGCAAGTAATTTGTGAAGTATTAATTTGCTCTATTCTCTTGTATTCAGAATTCATACTAACCATTCTTATAGTAATGTTAACTTGGTGATTCCTCTGTATACCCCATCATTGCCTCACTTGATGTAGCTCTTTATCCTAAATGTCTCAGTCCATTTATTACTCTCCTACTCTGATTCAATATGATTCAAATTGTTCCATTTCCAACACCACCACCTCTGAAATATCTGGAAAACACTGTCCATTTTCTTTCCATCCAAACTAACATATATTCCTTTTTTTTACCTCATATACTAATTTCATCACTCTTGTTCACGTTTGCTAACAACCTTCTATTATTGTACACAGGCACTTCTCCACTAACATTATACAGCAGCTGAATTGTCTCCCATTTACAGCTAACATTTGTTTTCAAAGCTTTTTTGCACCTCTTACTACCCCATCTTTGAAAACACTAAACAACCACTGCACCCCTTGATAAACTCCTCTCATTGATACACTAACTGCAGGAATTCTCAATGGTCTTCGACTATTCAATGATTCATTAAATATATAAATCTTCCTCCTGGTTGAAAGCTATTTAGTCCACATTATATTAAATATAATGGTGGGTGTAAAGCACTGTTTGTCAGTAATATAAAAATGGGGATTCCCTTAGCTTATAGGAAACCTTCAAACATGAGAGACTTGGTTACAGTAAACAAACAATAGATTAGACCCTAAAATGATCTCTGTATCACTGTTAACCCAATAGGGCTTTATACCTAAGCTACTGACAAGACAGGTGTAGTGTATTGGCAAAGAAACAAGTTATGAAAATGAAAAACACAAGAAACAAGTGATTATTATCATGGTCCCTCCTGGCGGGATGCCACAGAAAACGACTTGGTATTACCTGTTGCGTTTGTCAATATCCTAATCATATGTGTTACTTAATCCTTACATTGATTTCATTGTTTAGTATAATCAATTTTAAAACGGTAAAAAAATAAAAATTTGATAAACGATAAAATTTTGTACAAGAATAATCGTAAAAACTAATTTTATAGGTGGAGATTAAAGCCAAAGTCCAAGTTTATTCTGATGTTACAAACACTTCAGGTAAACAACTTTCCCCGAGGTCTGGCCGGAGCATCATGACCATACCGAGGATACATTATGGGGTATTTCTCCTTTTGTCACTCATTCCACTGAGCCTGAGTGAGAATTGGGCGTTTGATAATGCCCCAGGAATTGCCATGGAGTACAAGATTCACATAGAAGCGGGTAAAGAGGACTGTTACTATCAATATGTTCATCCAGGCGCCTCCATCTATGTTAACATGCAGGTGAGGTAGCAGCTGTTCTCGTATCTCAACACCTATTATGTTAACTTGTCTGTAGTTCATAGATTTAATGTATATTATAAAGATAAAGCAGTAATCATAATGTTTTAATATTATCCACATGGAAATATGTTTCAAATGTCTTTAACCGGAATTGAATGAGAAAGTAAAGCTTTTTATTATTTCACGTGTTGCCACTAAACAAATCTCGGGAATTTTATCGTTGCAATCAGTAATTGTGACAATTCTAAGACACCTTTCTTCAGTGACATTTCTGGTGTTAATTATGTATAAACAAGATATTTAACATTTTATTATGTATGTTCATAATTATGTGGTGGTACACACCCAGAACATCGAATGACTGTGGAGCCTCCCAGTTAGGTTAGGTTAGACTCAAAACTGTTTTTGTAAAACACTTTTTTTTTTACGTTTCCCTCGCAATGACTTACATGTGTTGGGGGGGGGGGGCTCCCAGTTCAGAGGTTAGGTCAGGTCATTTGTGAGGGAAACATCACAGATGAAAAGTGTCTTAGATTTGTCTAAAATACTGATTCCAATGGTTAAATTCTTAGGATTCCCCAGATGACCGAAATTAAAACTTTACCAGAGATAGAGCAAAAAAGAAAAATTTAAGAAATGACTTCGAACAGCACTACCACCAAATGGAGTTGTTTGATTTTGTTCATCTTTTGCATGGATGTTCTTACCATTATAATAAGTATTTATAAAAGAGGTGACATTTACTAGAACTTAATAGAACCTGACCTAACCAACCAAAGAATCCAAGCGGACGTGAGAGTATGCTTGGGCATAGCGGGTGAGTTGTAAACATTTGATGTATATGGCACAGGTGTTGAAAGGAGGCGATGGAAATGCTGGTATGGCTGTCCGGAACCCAAGGGGCGAGATTGTTCACCCTTACACTTGGAAGAAATCGGCTGAGTATGAAGAAGTTTCCCAGACTGGTGGTTACTATGGCATCTGCATTGATAACCAGTTCTCACGCTTTTCTGCCAAACTCATCAATTTGTACATGACTACATTCAGGTGAGGTTTTCTATATTATGGACAACAGTATTAGAATTTTGTAGGAGTTGTATAATCTTGAACATTAAATAATATACTTCAATCGTAAACATAATAATTAGCATGTACTCTACAGTACTGTTGTATTTTTTTTTTTTAGTAGGCAATACTAGTGGACATGCTTATTGAACAAATCCTGTTATCTTTTTGTTTTGCTGGAAAGTATAGTATAATATACATTACTTATGAATTACTTATGAATTTATTCATTCTTCTCAAGAAACAATTTTTGCTATAAAGAATGATGGTTTATGCAGGATCCTAGTCCACTCTGTTGCCAACTTTGTCCTGAAGAAGCGTCTGTTTCTCCTCAAAATCTTCTCCCGTCCATCTCACTTTTAAATTTTCTTTTGATTACTTTCCTATATTAATGCCTTCCTTTGTCCTGCAATTATCAAGCTTTTCCTTTCCTTTTTATAATATTTCTCCTTTTTGGTCCAGTGATTCTTATTTAACTGTGAAGCAAACCATTTCCAAACACATCTTAATCAGAGGAATGGGGGAATTGGTGACAAAATGTTCCTCCCTTCAGAGATTATGAAGAAGGTTTTATTGTGTGCATATTAAATTTTTTTCAAATTACTGTGTCCTCAGATATGACATGTGGGAGCAGTATACTAAAGAACTGGAGGATTTGGATATCAGCGTCAACAATTTTACAGTAAGTGATTTATACTCAGCTGTTTTAATCTCTTCCAAGGTCATTAAATATGTAATACTGTACAGTATTGATGTATCACTTCCACTACTTACCGGTATAAGCTTACTACTCATAATGGAAGAAACCAGAGTACCTTGGATAAAACCTGCCATGTTTGGTAGGGCCACACTGGATAACAACCTTTTCACTTTTGTCCTGAGACACAGTAGTTTAAGAAGTGTTTAATGGCCGTTTTTAATAAAATAGAGTGGTTGGAGTGAAAATAAATAGACTCAATATTACACAATGCCCGAGTCACCATTTTGTAGTACAGTACAGTAGTTGGGGATGTATGCACTGTACAAGTTGAAAATTTCAGATTTATTAATTTACCAGTATTCATTGTTTCACTGCTTATCAGCCTACTAGCAATTTGGGCAGATGTTCTGTTCTTTGTTACACCTTTCTTTGTCCATTTTTTGTACAGAAGGAAGTCAGAGTATACAGAGAAAACTTGTGATCCTTGGTATAGTCACATCTGTCCCAGGCCAGGGATTGAACCTAGAACACAATAATGAGAGATACCTACATGTTATCCTGCTGTATGACCAACATTACTGATATTAATGGCATTCAGAGTAGTGGAGGGATATACAGTTGTGCCTATATTTCAAGAAGAAGAATTTATAAAGATAATAATTTTTTTATTTACAGTAAATCATCCTGAAAATTAAATGTGAATTTATGTCATTTAGAAAATTTCTTGTTGATTAGATGTGGAGTGAAATTTGCCATTATTCTACATATACCATACTGTATATAACCTCAGAAAAATACATTAATAAATATGCTTTTTACTATTACATTTCCAGCACTCCATCAAGGGCGTCGACCAACGTATACACGAAATTTTGCTCTACCAAAGTCAAGCCAGAGCTAAGGAGTCTCGAGATTTACAGCTGTTGATTAGCAATAATCAGTATGTGCAGTACTGGTCCATTGCACAGTGTATGGCCATTGTTGCAGCTGGGACTATGCAAGTCTTCTTCCTTAGAAAACTTTTTGACACACAGGTCACCACTAAGTCTGGTGGCAGAGCATAGTAGAAGTGCATGTCTAAACCAAACAAGGTTAGTACCTGTACTAATAATAATTGGTCACATTTTTGTTACAAATGAAAGGTAGTTTTTTATTATAACTGTGGGAGTTATAGTTTTCTATTTTTTACATTAAACCAAAACAGGAAAAAACACCAAATGGTTTTAACTTGAGGTAAATTTAAGTGGAATCCACTTTGAAAGAAAACTTCGTATGTTAGACAAGTAGTTTCTTTGGTGCTGCTCTAACTGTTTTATCAAAAATGGGTCTTCAAGATTTTAGTCCCTTGCTGGTTTTACCAGAGATGCTGTTTGGTTACTCCACATCTTTCTTTCTTTAGTTTTCTTATTCCACTTGTTACATAGAAACTATACAAGATTTTTATCATCAGACTTGGTACAGTACTGGGTATGAGTTTAGAGAATAGTGTGATGGTCATACTTATTACCGGTATATGTGGTTGAAGGAGTAACTAATAGGGTACTATTGGTAGGGACTATAATTGGCATATTCTATAATGGTTTGCCTAATTCATATATTACATTATATGCATTTTTCTGTCAGTAAATTGAGTTTTATATATATAAGCTTTATGTGTGCAGTATGTTTTTATGAATACAGTTAGAAGAATTTTTTGTTGACTTCCATCCAATTTGAATCTCAGTTTTTAGATCTGACTGATCTAAATTCCTATTTTATTAGATAATGATGCTTATTGTAGAAGCTGCTGGGGTTGGTTTAATCTCTGAGTGTAAAGTTCACCAAGATGTCTCAAAGTTGATTTACCAATTTGAGTGAAACTTTGCAAACTTGCGGAATGATAAATTGGTGTCTGGTCAAATAGGACCCATTCCTAATTGACCCCAACACAACATAACTACTGTATTAGGGTTAGTGGCAAGTTCTTATAGGCCCCAACTTTAGTGAATCTTAGTCCTTGTTAGGTTTAGTGGCTGTTGGGACCAAAGCCTAATTGATTTGCAACCATGAAATTTAGGTTAAGATTGGAAGATCAAGGTCACAGCTGAGCGTCACAGTGATGCTCGGAGCTTTCTGAGTCCAGTTGTAGATGAAACATTATGATCTTAGGCTTCATGCCATAATTTATTGATTCTCTACATTCCATTGTTATTATTTTTATTCAATATGATTATAAACTTTTTTCATACATTCATTTATTGATTTTATTTTTGTATGTTTTTAAATTTATTGTTATAGAATGTTCCTTGTTTTTGAGTAAAAAAAATGTGATAAAAAAATGTTTTATATTACATTAGACCCTCGATAATATGGCACACTAGGGGCTCTGGTCATGTTGAATTGCTGAATTTGCTCATATTTCCAAATTTTTGCATCCACTTTGACATGTTGCTAAAATTTACCTCCATACATTGGTAAACCTGCCAATAAGAAAAAGGTGGCCAAGCACATGATATTCACAAAATAATAAGGTATAATAAAGAATACAGTACATTACTGTACAGTATTTAGATTGCTGAAGAACATAGTGAAAAACATGCCATGGTGACTGGAGATACTGTAATTGCTAGGGGGACCAGCAGACCTCTACAACACACTGTCTACTGTATTTTCTGTCTCTACACTTCATTGTTTATTATTTTATAGTCAATAAAATTTCACAAAACACACCTATAATCTATGCATAATGTTTTTATTTTGAGTTACTATCTATGTCCATGATGACATCAGGAAGCTCTGAGGTCTTGTCACTAGACAAACAGTCCAAATATGATCTTGAGGCCCCTGGTGAGGGTTCGAACGGTCCAGTAGAGGGGACCCTCTTGGCCATGGACTGGTTACTGTACTTACTTCATTCACTGTCTCCTTTCACTTCTCTCGAGGAGAATATAACTTGAAAGTTGTGTGGATTTTTGGGCTGTTATGTTCTTGCATGATGCATCTCCATGATCTTGGTTTGGAGCTCATGATGAGTGGAATACTGTACTATAGCACGTTTGCACACTCTTGTCTTCCATGACATCCATTCACTTTTAAGACACTTTCGTTATCTTTGTCGTAGTTGCTGTCTTCTTTAGGCTCCTCTTCTCCTCCAGTTACTTCTTCCATAATTTTCTCCTCTTAGACATAGTGGTAGCCAGGTTTGTCTTCATCAAGCTCTAGCCACATTTTTTTCCACCCCTTATTAAGGCCTGCATGTAGTCCTCAGGTTCAAAACCCTTGAAGTCTGACCTGAAATTGTATCTGCCAGAGCAATTTATTCCAGCTATTGTATTCATCAGGGTTTACTCCTTCACCATCTAATATGCTTCAGCAATGTTGAAGACAATAATAAAACTTGTACTTCTTAAGAGTTATCTAGTGACCTTTAATTCATCACCAGCTCCACCAGGCAGCCGTCCATCTGGTCGTGACAGTAATGTCTCTTTATAGTTTGAATGATGGACTGGATGATTTTACTATCCCAGCTGCTAAATTCCTCCTTAGCTAGGTAAGCTGGAGCTTTGTCCAGCAAGTGGAGGGCTTTGACATCTTCAGGATACTTGTGGGAGTCTTTTGAATTCATATTGTAACACAAGGCAAAACAGCATACTGTATACAAGACTGTACCAAGGGTGTGCAATCAAGGGCTGATGAAAGGGAGCTGCCCGAGAGACACCAAATAGCTGCACACAATTCCCAAAGCTGCCCAAGTCACCTAACTTGACACAACTTGTGGGGCAATTTTAGCAAATATATATGTAAATTCAGCATGTTGAAACTTACCTCATGATACAATAAATTCAAAATTTTTGTTGTAATCAAATGGATCACTGGCCAAGAGTCCAAGAGGATCTGAAACTTTTGCAAAATACATTTTGATTATTTCCACTTTCATAAGATTTTTTCACATTTAGATTCAGTGATGTTCTTTGTCACATTGGTGCATCTTTTTGCATTTTGTGATGCTGAACTTTACTGTCCATTTTTTCACCACTCCTAAAACTGGCAGAAATCTTTCTGTATTGTTCTGTCTGTTTGGTTCTTAATTTCCTTGAATAACTTTGCAAACATTTGTATGAAGTAGTATACAGTATAGCATCTGGCACATCATATATAAAATAGCAACAACAGTTCCAGCTGACTGCCCTATGATATTCCACTTGTCATAGGTACACAAGACAATTTTGTGCCCTTCCAGTTTAATTTTCAGCCTTTCATCAGGTATGTTATCGAATGCCTTAACAAAGTCAAGGTACTATATATATTGTCATTGCAGATTGACCCTCAATTTAATGGCATCAGTGGGACTTGGACCATGCCATTAAATCCAATTTGCTATTAAATGAAAGTAATGGGGGGGGGGGAGGGGGGCGTCGCTGATGAATCCATTGCATCAAGCTACCAAGATTATCATATTTGTCATAATATCTTAGGTTAGAAATGATAAATGTTTCAGAGATGGTGTTGTTATTTATATGGAATAAGTTTTTGTAATAAAAACTAATAAATTTTAATAAATACTTGTTTTCTCTAAGTATAATTCAAGTCTGAGTATGTAAATAAACACATAACACCATGGGACGTAAACACTTAGGATATTATAGTCTATCGTAGTAAAACAGTGTTCTCTAATACAGAGCAAAAGAGTAAAAATTACATTGCTCTTATGTGGCTTAGAAATAAAGAAAATATAATATAAAACTAAAAAATAAGAAAATTGGAGGCATTAAGCACTGAGCTATAACTGCGTCTCGACTCACCAGTCAGCAATCTCCACCCACCCGGCTCCTACCCCAGATGTAACCTTACAGCATACTGACTCACGTCTCGGAGTCAACTGGTGACTGCCCAGCTGATCTGTGCTGCATGATGGCTCGATTTGGCTTCATTTGCACTTAGACAAATGATCAGTGAATAACCAGGGCATATGGAGATACATTATACTGTACACTACAATAATATTTACTAGTGCCCAAGACAGATCCTGTGGTAAGCACCAGCCCTCTTGAGCAGTGACAAGAACGGTGCTATAGAGATGGTGAGTGCTGGCAACACTGTTAGTAAGAGCGGGTCAGTGTTACCGCTCTGTAAACAAGACACTGAGAATATACTATGGCGCAGTAGTTCTTCTGAGATTGAGTGTGGGATTTCTGGGAAAATTAATTATATTTTGATAATGTTTTATTAACCCGGCACCAAGTGAACCTAAATAATATGGGAATTATGGTGAATTGCATACTGTTGTTATAAAGGGATCATGGGCTGCCGAGCAGGAGGTGGTAAAGTTGTCCTCCCTCCCTCCATAGATTTCATGAAGTTGACAAGCAGACACTACATGGTCTAGTTTCTGTAATATTTCAACTTTCTACACAATGTTCAAGGTAACTCTTTTCTTCTTTGGGTCACTAGTGTAACTCCAGTAGGGTTTTCAGGTCTCTTAGAGGCCATAATTGATGCAAAGAAAATAGAAATTTAGGGTGATCACACGAGCACATCACTGGCTGAACTGCAGTGTCAAAACAAACTGACCACAGAGCCGTGGGAGCAATGCAGCAGGGAGAGGAACTAGTGGAAATTACAGGCAGGCCTTTAAAAAAAATTCCACGATCTCTAAATTTTGCCGTTAAATGCGAGTTGCCAGTAAATCTAGCGCTGTTAAATCGAGATTGAACCAGTATTACCATCCTGCTTCAGAATGTATCCACACATCAAGCACTTTAAGTAATTGCATCATGCAAGAGCATCTGGGCTTAGAACCATACTGTTATTCTTTGACAAGGTTGTTTTGTAGTAGATATTCCATCACAGAATTGCATTTAATGCTCTCTAGTACAGCACTTGACACACTATGCTGGTCACACTCACCGGCCTGTAGTTGGTCCTGCTGTGTCATTCACTCTCTTCAATAAAGGATTCACTTATGTCACATTCCAGTCACTGGGGACCTTTTGGTCAACCATTCATCTCCATAACAGGATTTTAATGGGCTCTGTGAGCTCACTGCACAGCTCTTAACACTGAGATGCACACTATCAGGGCCAGGGCTCTTATGGGCCTTGAGCTTTGACAGTATGGTTCTAATACACTCTACTGGGAACTTAGTGTGCAATAGTGTTGTCAAGAAGGTTTTCCTCAGATGCAGGGTGGTTGTTCACATTAAGGAAAATAATTTATAAATGTCTCTGCCTTGTCCTGATCTGAGTCAGTAGATCCCATCCGGAAGTCTCAGGACTGATACACACACTTGACTTGGCCTCATTTACAGTCTGCCTCTGAAACTCTGTTTTTTTTTTTTGTTAGTCTTTTTACACTGACTTGGTTTGGTTCCTGGACCTAGCATACACCCTTCTGTCCTGCTTATCATATGTCACGACCCATCTCTTGAAATTGAGTTTTTCTTAGCTTAGTTAATTGTCACATGGTTCATGTGTAATGATCTAATACTCTTGGAGCCAGTGGATTTGGTCTTGGGTATGTATTTAAGCATCAAATACAGTAGTTCACTTTACTGTCTATAATATTCAAGACAGCATCCACATACAGTATTTGTTTCAACACAAAAAATATTCAGTGCATTTGTAGGTTTTTATCTGCCTCATGTTCAAACCACAAGTAAATGACTGGGAACTTAACCCTCTAGCACACGCAAAAAGTTTTTAAGTTTCTGTGACTATGACAAAGGTCATATGGGGTCACTCATGTGAGGTCTGGTCATCATAGTGTGGTCAATTTATCCCACAAGATTGTTATTAATTTTTTTTCATGATTTATACATCACTGACTTTGTTATTGTTTTGGCTTTAACATAAGCAGAAAAAACAAAGAGACAAGAGTAAAACTATTTTTCACTCCAAATAAAACAAAATCTTTGTTCCTAGAATCATTTCTCAGATTATTTTCACAATCCTACCAAGGTATTATAATACCTGTAGTTACAGAAGCAAAATTTTAAGAGCTTTCCAATGGTGACTTTGGAATTTTGATATGACTAATTTTCGGGAGGGTGGGAGAGAAAATAAAGATGTGTTCTACCAGCGTGGTTAACGGGAGGAAACTGTTGGACACCAGAAGCCACCCACGTTTTGGCACTTTCTGGAAGCTTCCCTCACAAGATCATCTAATCATCTTTGACAATTATTTTGAAAACTTTGGGGGGGGGGTGAATTTTTAAAAGTTTAAGGACTTAATTGCGTCACCGATACAAATACTGTAGTCCTACCCAATGATTTGACGCAACGTGTCATGGTGCACGAGCTGGGTAATAGCAGTATAGGGTATCTAATAAGGAAAAAAACAATGTGAAAACTTCCCCTCTCAGATTACTTAACATTGTAGTTACTGTATAACTTGCATTATCTTGGTGTATGCTAAGTAACAATACTCAAAGTAACTACTGTACAGTAGTTTATGGTTTAGGTTTCGAGTAGTTATCCCACCCTTGTTTTTGGATGACAAATGATTTTCTAGACTATAAAATTTAAGAATTTGATATTAAAATTGATCTACTAGACAAAATCTTCCAAATTTAATGTCATAACTTTCATTTCACAAATGTTGTTACCTGTACTGTATTTTTAAATGGTTATATTTTGCTTGCATCTACAAATAAAAGAGAAAAATATGATAATCCGATTCATTAATATTGCTTACCATATTTTTAGGTATGTTTTGATCAAGTCTTGATCAAGTAACTTGGGTAACATTATTTCCTTTTGTGTACTGTAATTAATTGTCTTCCGAGTAATATAATTTGCAAGATTGCCAATGTCAAGTCCTCATCAACACTTAACATGGGATAGGGATCATATTTTTTTATGTATACTGTACTGTTTATGTATACCTTATGTTCAGTCTCAAAGCTGTTAATCCCATCAAGGTAAGTTTTAATGTACTGTATCCATTCCTTCAGCAACATCCACCCTACTTCTGTTCTTTCAGTGATTTTTTTCTTGCCATCACTCCTCTCCCACTCTTTAGACAAGGCGGGATATTAGAGAAGTGTGGTGTTAGACATTTACATTTTTTGTACCTCCTATATTTCTAACCCCCATTCAATATTCATGCTTAAAATTATGTCTTTCTGGAAGTAGTAAAAGCTTTATTTTATTTTATGAGCAAACTGTTGTCCCAAATTCTTTGATTAGTATTTATTCAGCATTAATGTAAAATCTAAAGCATTTTTTGAGGATTCAGGCTACATCCTGCCCAGAATACATGAGTTATACAAAATAAAGAACATTTTAACATACTGATAAAGGAAACCACACAACACACATTTTCTAACAGCACAATTTATTGTAGAATATTGTACACTACAATCAGACAACTTAATTTAAATTTAGCCAAAAAATCAGCAATGAAGTAAAGATCAGGTGAGCAATATATAAAAGGTCAATGACTTAACCAAGTTTTTTGTAAAATATTAAAAGTGCAATACCATACTTGGTGATGCACTTAATATTTTATAAGATCTGTTTGGGAATGTCATCAATAAATTGTCACAATTCGGAGTCTATGAGACTTAACTATCATCCATTACTGGAAACCGAAGGCTTACCTACAATACCTTACGTTTAATAAATGAAAGACCACAAATGATCTAGGAACTAGCACATGACATGCAGTACTCCTTAACCAAAGACAAGGTCAACACTCCAGATATATTCCCATTTCAAGACCAGTTCTCATTAAGTTTCTGGGCCAAGTTCTATATGCATGGTGTAAAAATATTTAGGTAAAATTATAAAAATGTAGACAATTACCCCCATCTTAACATTCACACAAACACATTCTTATGGCTCCATAGCATCCCATAGAATTAAATACAACAAGATGGTCGAGACCTCATTACAAATTCTCATCTTCCCTTTAACAGCCTAGTCACGGGCATTTATGATCTGTACAAAGTCTGGTTTGAGAGATGCTCCGCCCACAAGGAACCCATCAATATCTCCCGTCTTGGCTAATTCTTGGCAGTTAGCAGGGGTGACTGATCCACCATAGATGATGCGAGTTGAGTCGGCAACCTGGGCATTTACGTTGTCACGAAGCCACTGACGAAGCTTGGCATGGACATCCTGTGCCTGAGGAAAGATTTTATACAATTCATTCAACAACGGGTTCTCCAAGACATGTTTTCCATAAAATGATTTTCAACGTGGCATGACAACTTACAAGTATTTCTCTCATAATACTGTACAGTACTGTACTCACTTGTTCTGGGGATGCTGTTTTGCCAGTACCAATAGCCCAAACTGGTTCATAGGCAATGACAACCCGGGACCAGTCAGAGATATTTGGAAGAAGCGCTTTCATCTGGGCAAAGACAACCTCTTCTGTGCGATTGCCTTCACGCTCCTCAAGTTTCTCACCAATGCATGCGATCACCTGAACAAAATAAGATCATACATATATAATAATCAATTACACTGTGTATCCTGGATATCCAAGTTACATATTAGACAAAGTCAAAATAATTTCTTTATTAATTAACAATATTAAATGGATTTGAACATTACCATAGTATCTTCAAATGCATGTTGGGATGAAGCTCAAGTGTCAGCCAAAAATCAAACAAGGGCAATGTAAAAAAATACAAATTGCATCACCATGTATAAAACCATATCTGATTTACTACTATTCAAATGGCTGTATTTGCCAGATATGATTTAAATTTAGTGAATACAATCTTATCCAAGAGCTGAAATATACTGTATACGGCTTTGTAGAGAGACTGGTTAATATTTGATCACATTAGATAAGTTGTAATAAATGACAAATGGATGGCTGGAGCTTGTGGCACATCTCTGCCAATGGCAGATGGAAAATAAAAAGAAGGAAAAGGTTATAAAAATTAAAGCAAAAGTGAGAGCAATGGTTCCCAAAGCTTTTTCACAAGACGTCCCCCTTTTCCTTTTTACCATACCCCCCCCCCCCCCCCCCAATTTGCTTAAAATCATTTTAGTCAACAATTAATCAATTTTACACCCTATACACTTATTTATACTACTGTACACTAAACCCCAGATATACCGAACCTTAATATAAAGAATTTTGGCTTTAACAAAACACGTGGGCCTATCCAACATCGTGTAAAATTTGTTACGTAGAGTATAACGTGTAATAGTACCTGTAGTGTGTAGTGTTTCGGTAGTTAATGTAGGTACTTAGCACTAGCCACCTCAAGATCACCAAGAAACAGCTACAGATTCAACCTCAGAAAGGTAAATACACCTACACTTAGTTCTGTACTTCTATTTGTTTTTCTTTTCTGGCTTAAATATTTAACATAATATATAATGAACTTTCAGTTTTAACGAACCACCTTTCCCCCCAATTGGTCCAATATATCGAGGGTTTCCTGTACAGTACTTTCAAGATCAACTAACCAGAACTCCGATGGCCGGAATTGAAGTTAACAAAGGAGGCAAAGACAATAAAATGTGTCCTGTACAAGGAAATAATTGAGATACGTACAGTCATCACATGGATGCAAGAGGAAGGAGAATATTTTTAGTGACAAAAGATGAGCTTGAGAGCAATATGTGGAGCGCATAGGAGGCAGGCAATATGATATTCAGCAACAGTGGACTGATCCTGACAATATTTTCTACTAGATCCTGTACCCAAGCTGTTCTTGTAATACTGTACAGACAGATTCCTGAGTGATGTCTCTATACCATCCACAATTATACAAGTCATGGTTGAATTGTCAATCCATTCAGGTTTACAAATCACATACATGATAAACACCATCAGATCACCCATGAAGCTAAGGTCTGGGAAGCAGTGAAAAAAAAATTACTGTACATTACTGTACTACAAATTGTTATAACTTACCTTCAATCCAGCCTCAAGAGCATGACCAACTTTCTCACTAATGAGCTGGTCAGATTCATTGAAGACATTCCTGCGCTCAGAGTGTCCCAGAATGACCCACTTACAGCCCAGGTCCTTGATCATGGCTGGTGAGATTTCTCCAGTGAAGGCTCCTTTGGAAACCTTTGGAAAACATCCATCACACTATAATTAACATCCGATACATTATATTGCCCAGGTACCGCATTTCAGTGTACTATACCTGTACTGTCTTTTTATACCACTTTCTTCAATGACATTTATTTTCCAATTAAAATATTTAGAAACTAAATGCCCCTCCCCAGGTGAAAAAACTTAAGCTGCATGGATACTAGGACAGATATGGTGCCCATTTAAAAGACAAAAACTCTGGAGTTAGCTTTCAAGGTTTGCTCATTGATATTCCAAAAAGTGAAAACATCCCAAAAGGAAATGCCACAGCAATAAAAGTAGTACATTACCTTGTAACAATTCTGAGCTGCAACACCAATATTTTCAGGCAAGTGCTCACGGGTGTACATCAGATAGCACTGTGGGCAGCCAACCGCAACCTCTGTGATAAAGAAGAGAACCACCAATAACACCAATCCATGTGGGTACTGTGCACACATTGAAACTGCAGGATAGATTTCTATTTTTCATTGTGCCGAGCAAAGATTTTTTTTTCAAATTTGCATCACTCTCACATTACTGGATTGAAACAATAATAGCACCAATTACAGGTACGGTAGTCCCCGACTTACGACCGACTCGACTTACGTCCAACCGCACTTATGACAGCCTCAGTCATACCAAAATGTGGTCAAATTATGTATTTGAGTCCCTAAATCAGTACACAGGCAAAATTTTCATCTTTAATTCACTTTAAAATGGCTGGCAGGCTTAAAAGCGAGTGTTTTGTGGTGCTGAAAAGAAAAAGACCCAAATTTTCGATTTTCTATGTGTTATTTAAGCATTTCTGACTTACGACCTGGATGTCGGTCCCTAACCCCGTCGTAAGTCAGGGAGTACCTGTAAACTAAAATCCAGTCTGGACAACCTGTTTCGTAAAGAATGTCCAACTTATTAAATCAATGCACCAGTTTAAAAATCCCACAAACAATACAATTGGTTTGTTCACTTGAACTTTGCAAATGAGACCCACTGCAGTTTGTAACAAGACAGATGATTGGCCAACGGGAAGATGTACAAAGTGTCACTCGACTGAGCTTTAGTATTTCATTTATATTACCTATACAGTGCAGTATGTACTACTGCACTCTGTAATTTTCACACTTGGAGAAGTCAAAATTAGCATGTGAAACACTGGTAACAGATAACAAAGAGAACAACAAAAAGATCAGTAACAAAATTTCAGAATCATTCCAACCTTTTCAGCCACTGTCATGCAGTACAGTTGAATTTGAAGTCTTTATGGTGATCAGCAATTTCCCACAAGATTACCTCCCCTTAAATGAATCCATTAAACTCCATTCAACACATTCATGCATTTCTTATTTCTGACAACAAACATTCCATTTCATAACCAGTTTAGGCCGTTGGTGGCAGGAAAAAATGAACGAGTTGGATTTATACAGTACAGTACCTGTACTGTGCTGTGCTAACCTCTCGTGTCACCATCCTACCTCCCCAGTTTCTTAGACTATCCTGGTGTTTTCTTTTTAGGACAGGCAGTCATTTAGTCAACTTTCAACAAATTTTATTTTCAAAATTTATTTTAAAAGTTTAATTACAATCATTGGATTTTATTTGTTTTTAACAAGAAGAGTTCTGTACATTTTTAATACTGTACTACCATTCCTACTATCTTGCTGTTCTTGTCACATTTCCTTTCTTCTTTCTCCTCTCGATGAGTGACTCATTAATAATCATAATTTTAAATTAATACAAAACTTTTACCACAATTACCGATATATATTAATAGCAATAAATATTTACAATACAAGATGATTTTCAGGTGTCGAGGAAATTTTTTTAACTGTGAAATGGGAACATCTTTGTTCAATTACCCACAGCTTGTGTTTAGGATAGTGTTGCCAATTCTCAAATATTAACTGCGGGCAATAAAATCCAGCTTATTTGATGGTCCTGCAATAAAACAGTACAGTACAGTACCAGTAGTTACATTTTTATTTTATGAATGAAGAGGGTTTATGTTAACTTAATTTATTGAAACTTATATGCTATTCTATACATAACCTGACCTCCTAACAGGATGACTCCGTCCCCCTGGATCCCCTGGTATATTTAAGTTACATGTATTTGCAAGGGAAACGTCATAGAAGAAATGTGTCTTAAAATTGTGTAAACCACCAGAAAAACATAGTGTTCAACTCGAGAGCCATATTGGTTGAAAATGCAAATTTACCAACTGATCATATGACACTTAAAATGATGCGTCTACGTAAATTGTATGCGAAGAAATTAATTATTTACCGCAAATATTCCTCTGAAAAACCTGCCGTGTTGGCACATACTGTCGTTCGTTCTTTGTTTGTTCCAGTGCAACAACTGAGCTGCTTAGTCCGAGTGTAATCTCACGTCCACAAAAGCCATAATGCCACTTCAAGAAAGTTTCTTTCATCAGTACCAGATATCAAAGTACAATATGTACTTATTGTTCAATATGACAGGTCCCCTGTCAAAGAAGTTAGGTCGGTTTCTTTAGTTGCTTAGGTTAGGTTGTATCGATTTTATTAATTATTATCCAAAGACCATGTGGAAAATATAATCGTAACTGAACAATTGCTGGCATTAGCCATCTGCTCCAGCATTACTGCAAAATGAACCAACTAATTTAACTGAAAAAACCCCATAATGGCATGATAGTCATACTCGCCATCCTGTCATGTGAGGAGTGAACTTGTCACCTTGCTCAAGGTGAAGTGACAAGGTCACCTTACTCAAGGTGGGCAAAGTAACCTTATTGTATAAATAATATATCGGTTGTTACATTTTACAACTGCGGTGACCTTACAGCAGTGAAGCAGGAATGTCATGAGGTGACCTTACTGAAGGTCAGTAGGTGACAACACTCACTACAAATGAATGACCTTCATCAAGGACACACGAGTCGTGGTATCCAAGGTTACGCCCCAACACACTACCATCACCAGACTCTTCAACAGACAAAAATAAAATCCCTTCTCAGATTAACAAGCATGCATCCTTGTGGATGGCATTAACAAGTTAACACTCTGGTGCTCGGCATCAAAGGTATGGATAAACCCAAGATGCCGGTCACAAACGTCAAGTATCAAGGATAACTCACCAGTGTTGGGGCTCAGCGGACCCTTCATGAACGAGATAATGGCATCAATGCCAGCCTTGTCCCCGTTCATCTTCCAGTTACCCCCGACGAAAAACTTCCTTTGGTCGGACATCTTGAGGAGCGCTAGAAGTAGAGATATAGCAGGAAGTGTGTGGTCGAGTGGCACCCGCTGCGTCGTCTGCGCCGGGCGAGGTCTGGCTGGGCCCAGGCCGGCTCTCTCTCCCAGCTGGTGCCAAGTCTATCTCTTATTACTCTTTTAATAATTATTGTCATATCCAGGTCACTTAGGCGAAAGGTTCTCCATTTTATAATAATCATTTTAATTAAAATAGTTAATGTTCAGAATGCAAATTACAAGGGGTTTTAACATTTCCCGAGATATCTGGCATCATCTTCGCTCTCGCTGTGGACGTCATCGATGCGTCATTAACAAGTATGAACGACTGTTGCCACGACCAAATGTTTCCATAATTTGGGGATCATTTACACTTTATCTGTATATTTATAATAGGCAAAATTGAGACAAATTTTATGAACACGAAACAAAATACACATGTATTCATTTTTAAGCAATAGATTTTTTTTACCTTTACGTTAAATATAGTAACTAATAATATAACCGGAAAACAAACAAAATGCCATAAGTTAACCAACAAATCCTATTTATATCAAGTAACTTCACTGCATGAAAGTAAAATTTCCTTTCAAAAAAAAAGGGCCAAAAGGCACAATTAAAAAAAATCGTGTAATAAGTGTAATATCGCCTTTGACTCTTTGTACTACATGCAGGGATTAGAGACAAATCAAACAAGTTAGGAACACTAAAATTTAAAATCCAATCTTATCACACACGCTAATGAGATATATTTATGTATATATTAGAGTTATCTAGTATTCTTTATTCCTTTGATATTTAATAATATCGTGGCTGAAATTATATACATTTTCAAACAACTTTACTGTAGTAAGTGTACAGTGGTGCCAAATCTTTACCCATGGCGAGGTAAAATTGTTTAATGTGTACGTGTGGGGGAGCGCGTCTCTCTTATTTTATGTATTTTCATAATTTATAAGAGTTGTATGTTGCCTCTAGTGTAATAACTAAATATATTAAGTGAATTGTGTTGTACGAACCTGACACAGAAAACCTATACATGTAAGTTACAACTATATTCTTTCTTCTCTTTTCGTATGGTATGCATTTTTATTATTATTGTGTGTAGGTAAAGTTAGGTAGGTTTCCTTGGTTCAGTCAAGTTCTATTAAGTTCTGTGCATTGTCATGGAAAAAATTACAAAATCGAACAACTCCTTATGGTGTTAGCCATCTGCCATCCACTAATGACAGATAGTTACATTTGATAAGAGTAATGTGAGATTTATAAACAACCCTCATTTCCTTTGAATTTCTCTTCTTCTATAATTGAGGCATTCTAAAGTAGTCCCAGCTGCTGCAATTAAGCAGGTTAACAGGATTAATCTTTTGGAGTGAAGTTTAATCTTAGATCAGACCATTTGCCAAGACTCCAGACCATTTGAAATATCTTGCTAAGTTTTTAAGGTAGTAATCTGAATAAAGCTCATTTGAAAATAAAGCTGTATTATCTCTCATCCCCTTGGGATATAAGATATAATTCAGACCTTAAACTCTCTGACTGACTCAAGTGACTCAATAGCTACTTGGGTAGGTGGTTACATCTATGTTATGCACTGTTGGCATTTACTGTACTGGTTTCAGAATGTATCTGTACTTATGTCAGTGTTGGTCAAGTTTGGTTTTAAATGAGCTTACACTCTGTGTCATTACGACACTCTCTGGCATATTGTTCAAGAATTTACAATTCTCACTACAAAAAGTTTGCTCTGACAGTTTTCTGAACATGTGACTTCTTCATCCTTAAACTGTGACCCCTTGTGGGGCAGGCATCTGCCAGCTTCAGGTATGGGCACTCGACTGAGTAGTGCCCTCCGAGATGTTTATAAACTTATTAAGTCGCCTCTTACCTGCCAATAGCACACTTTTAATCTCTTTGAATGGTTCTGTAGTGCAGTCACCACTCTGGTGGCCTTTCTTTGGGGTCCGACTAATTACCCAAATGTAGCCAAATATAGCCGGAATGAAGTCAAATAATGGTCCTAGATGAATAAATCGGACTGCCAATCACTTCTCGACTAGTATTGGGTGTCAGAAAGTCACAAAAAATTGGAAAACTTACTTTAATCTGAGTTAATAGATCGCGTGCCTGTACCGACGGAGCGAGGAATTACCCAAATGTACCCAAATGTAGCCAAATATAGCCGGAATGAAGTCAAATAATGGTCCTAGATGAATAAATCGGACTGCCAATCACTTTTCGACTAGTATTTGGTGTCACAAAGTCACAAAATGCTGTCACAGCACTTTGGCAGGTTGTTCCAAAAAAGTTTGCCCTCTGTCCTGGCAATTTTTTAACTTGTGGCTTCTTTAACTTGAAGCTGTGGGCTCCAGTGGGGTAGGCTTCTGCTAGTTCCAGGTATGAACACTTGACTGAGTACAATACTGTAATGTACACTTGAGGGGCTTATAAACTCTTGCCCATTTATAGTATAAGTTAGGCAACTGCAGGTATTCTAGTCTCTGGGTACCTAAGGTGCTGGAGTGCGGGCACCAGTCTGGTGACCAGCTCCTCTGGATGCCCTCAATCAAATGACAGTCTGTAGCACTTAACATTTGTTCCATAATTTATTCCAATAATACATTATCTTGGAAATCCTGTATGTTGTGAAAGTGAGAGTCAATAAAGAATACTGTAACACATAATTAAGAAATGTGATTTGATGAAAATTATAGTACAGGTAGTACTGTACTGTACATGATAATCTGTAAACAAAATTATTATGAGAGGCAGGTGTATGTGTGTAAGTGTGTGTAAAGGAAACTGAAACAATATATTTATATATATACAGTTATATATAAGATTTATTTTATTAAAATTGTAGCATATCACAAATTTTAAATATACAATTATTTAAAAACACAGATTCTTCACAATGTACATCATTATTCAAGGTATTATTATACATCTATTCCTCAGTAAAAAACATTTCTGATGATGAATACATGCAGTTATTATTCAACATTACCAAGAAAGGACAGAATAGGTAAAAAAAATAATTTATTTAGGAGTTTGATACAAGCAACAGGAGACAATATTGGCTAGTGGGGTAGTGTCATTATCAGTCAAGAGTTATGGGATATATTTTTACAGAATACAAGTGTCATGAAGTAAACATTTTGAAAGATACATTATACCCGAATGTTTTTACCATCATAGAAGTAAACAGCCTCTCATGTATGCCTTTCTGGGCAGCATTTTCAGAATCTTCTACAAATTATTATAAATTGTCTCTGTATCTTCATATGTCAAACCTCAAACAGTAATACTCAGACTACTTGTTGAAATAATCCATATTCTGGTACAGTATGATTATCACACGTGGAGCAGTTGCCTTTAATTTAAAACTAAGAAATGTGTGTGAAATTATTGGATTATATCATCGCAAGTATACACAACAGGCAGTGGCAGAAGAAGAAATAATAAAATATAGAGAAATGGGAAACTAGCAATGTCTGGAGGACTAAAGTTGGTGAGTGTATGGTAGAACATCAGGTGGTGGTGTGTGAGTGGATGGTAGAACACCAGGTGGTGGTGTGTGAGTGGATGGCAGAACACCAGGTGGTGGTGTGTGAGTGGATGGTAGAACACCAGGTGGTGGTGTGTGAGTGTATGGTAGAACATCAGGTGGTGGTGTGTGAGTGTATGGTAGAAAACCAGGTGGTGGTGTGTGAGTGTATGGTAGAACATCAGGTGGTGGTGTGTGAGTGTATGGTAGAACACCAGGTGGTGGTGTGTGAGTGTATGGTAGAACACCAGGTGGTGGTGTGTGAACACTCAGGCTACTGGAAACATTCACTCTATTAAAGTGCCTAAGTCTAGTTATTGCAATATCTAAAAATGTCATTTAAACAGTTACTTTAATACATCTCCTTAATCTATCTAAAGTACGTATGTATGTACAGAATTACTGACTATACTGGTCATACAAAAAGGTTAACAGAAGACAATTGGGAAATAGCCAAGAGAAACTTTCAATTAACATTTAGTAACAGTGAGCATTAACATTATACATCAACTCAGTGCTAGTTCCAAGACAAACTAAAATAAAGGATGGTGTAGTGTTGGGAGGTTTAGTGAAGGAACTGTGTAGTGGTGAAGGAAGTGTATTGAAATGTGTAGAAATAAGAGGCTTAATGAGGGGAAGTGCAGCTACAAGGTGAAATGAGAGACAGCATGATAAAAAAACATGTACCTCATACTGTACTTTGAGAATATGAGTACAGTAGTATGGAGAAAAAACACTGTAGTTAAGGAAAGTGGCATGAGGAAATTAGTATATAAAGAGATACTGTATACCATATTAGGCTTTACTGAAAGTGGATATAAACATGAACTGAAGGAAAATGTGTGAAAAATTTAAATGTTATGACACAACATACTATATATTACAATATAAAAACATGACGAGTTTTGAGTTTGGTTATTGTGAGGCTGTCTGGTGACAAGAAAATTTTACAGACTAGATGAAAGAATATATCCTGTATAATTTCTGGTGAAAAATTTATTTGCTAGAAACAGTGTACTGTACTCTACAATATACTGTATTATATAGATGTACAGGTATAATATGTAGATTTTACTTGATGTATACTGTATACAGTACGGTATTATGAATACCATAATCAATTAGCATTTGAGGTGCACATTAAAATTAGAGGTAGCAGTTTTAATAGGGAAAGAATGTGCTGTAAAAGGTATACAGTACAAAGCTCCTCTTAGGCCATTTCCTAATTCCTGTAACTTGGGTGCAGACAGACTGCCAAACCTTGACCTTGAAACCCAAATTTTGATGTTTTGCAAATGAAGTTGCTTTACCTTTCTAATGGTAATAAGATCCCTTCTTTTCAATACAGTAATTGTATACATTTGAGAACTTAGTAAGAAATATATTCAGAAAAAACTTCACAATTTGGGCCAACATTCATTTATAGTAATTCGGTCAAGATTTGAAATTTGGGAGCTTGTGAAGACCTGATGGTTGTGAGCAGGACATCAATATCTAATAAGATAGAGAACTTAATTAACAAACAGAATGGTGATTTGTTATTATAAATTAGTGACCTGGAATATTATTCTTGTGGAATTAACCAAGAAAATTTTCCAATATAAATTCTGTTTTACAATAATATATTCCTGAAGTAGGACCTTAGTGATGTTTCTTGTTAAAAAAAAAATACCGTACCTATAAGTAGTTTGCACAAATCTTTCAGTTACTATTGGTCCTCTTCTTCAGGAAAAAATACCTGTACACATAAATGAAGGATTAACCTTGATATCCCATTTTATGGCTGAAACCTAGACCTACTGTGGGTCATTTGAGTACACTATATACACTCACTGAACCATTGGTCAAAGACCCAGCAGACCAGGGATAAATTAGGTTTGGTCAGAGCCCTATTGTGCCCAAGTTGGTGGACAGGAAAAACACAGGTGTTTCTGTGTTGCCCTGCCAAACTCTCCTGATCTCCTTTCTCTTCTCTGAGAGGGTTTAAAACTGGGCTCCCATTAACCAAAATTTTTAGGTTTATTGTTAATTTTAGGGAGATTACGGTAAATAATTGTTCAGATTAGTCACGGCCACCAGTGTAAGGTTTCCTGGGTCCTAAACTGATGGCCTTGTGAGACCACATACTGTACTCAAGTCACTTAGTGAAGGAAGATTGACCATAAAATTAATTTCATTCCCAAGTAATATGTGAATAAATTCAAGTTTACAGTGGTGATGGAAACACCGTAACGAATTACTGTGAATAATATCTTGCGTCCATGGCTGGATTGTCAATGCCATACTTTGTTTCATCCATACCAAATGTGGACTTAGATGCTAATAGTTCTCTTCGTGCTTCTGGACAGCCTGGACCCCAGTTGCTTGCTGGCTTGAACACCTCAGAAATTTTCTGTAAACAATGTCAGACATGAAAATTGGATAGTGAAAGAGATATTAGACCATCAGCCATTTTTCAAAGGGATTATTTTTAAGGTCATTTGTAAGTTTTCCATGGTTATAACTGTGAAAAATATTGAAATACCTGTACAGTACTGTAAATGAAACCCTCTCAGTAATGGACACCCATGGTAACAGACAGGGCTTGTACAAATTAGTCCATTATTGGGAGAGTTTCCTGTGTATGATAAGAGGAAACATCAGCTAGATAGTCAACTGAATGAGATGATATCTTTTCTAGGATAATAATACTTTGCTTTTTTTAAGAGGTACAGTACAGTACATTTAGAAATTCAACAATGCTAATTCATCTCATCAAGGTTAAATAAAATATTGACTGGAGTTCACTGCATATGTTATTTAATATTTATCGAGGTTCTTTATGTAAGGATGACTTCACTCTCTTTCTGTGAAAATTTACAGAAAATTCTATTACTGTACACTAAAGGCCCATACTATAATTCTAAATTTGTTATTATTCAGGTGTTTTCAGAAATTCCTAACCTCAATGATTGCATAATTTCAACCCATGTGTGTAACATTTGCATAATTTTCAGGATTCTGGCCACGTTTACTCTAATTTTTTCTGTGGTATTTTTAGTTCTAAACCTGTATCCTGTACAGTTGTACCAACAGACAGAATTATTTGAGGGGTGTCACATCCCCAATACCATCATCCATGATGTCACTGCCACACAGTGCCAATGACAGTGCCTTACAATCTTAAACCTACAACTGACTTCTAGCACGTGCTCATAAATTCACAACATTTTCCTTACGTTATCCTCTTCACCACTGATTGACTCATTAGCTACTCAGATGGTCGGTTATGTCTTTGTTATGCACTGTTGGCAACTCCTGGGTATGTATGGTACAGGACTTGCATTGCTAACCTATGGCAAAGTTATGAACTGTATACACTATATACTAGACTTCAGACAGTGATTAAAGCATTGGCCACCACAAAAAAATAACATATTGTAACTTCAATGTGATACAAGCCAGAACTGGCAACAGCACACACCACCCCCCAACACCCTCCCCTGGGGAAAATTGACATTGACCAATGCCTATATCCACCAAGTGAATTGGCTTAGGTCTCTGGTGCAGTACATTACACACAAGATTTTCCCATGCACCACCAGTACAGAAATGGCATTCCATGGAAGTGAAACAGCTTTTGTGGCCTTTCTATAATACTGTACAGCATGCCCTGACAATTCTCGGACCTCGATTATTCGCGGATGACACCCTGGATGTACCCAAGAGTGTCTAAGGGTAGTTTTACAGTTGGTGGCATTTCTGCAGGTGGGAAAACAAAATTTATTAAAAATGTGAGTCTACCCTCTATTCAACTCTGTGCTTTGTTATTAAAGTTAATAACAAAGCATGGAGTTGACTTGAGGGTAGACTTCCACATTTTTAACACATTTTGTGGTTTTGTTTCTGATTACACCCCTGTATTTGTGAGAGAATTTTCCCATTGTTATTTATTTATGTGTTTTGTGTGTGTGCATCTATACAATACAGGTAAAAGAATTAATTTTCCTAAGGGCAAACACATAAAGGGAATATGCATTCCTTTGCACACGAGTAAGAATTTAACACCCCCACCCCCCTTTGGTCAGCAAATGTTATTCGTAGACTTGGCTATTCGCGGCCATTTTGAGAACCTAACCCAGTGAATTTTAAGGACATGCTGTACTGTTCAAAAGGTGGCCCATCCAGCATTCACCAAGTGATGGACATCGCCTTCTCCATTTGTTCCTCATGTCTTATAACAGCCAAATACAAAGTGGACAAAAACTAGAACTTGGATATACAGTACGTATAAAGAGTAAAACTTACCCCTGTGACGAGCATCTTAAAGGTAAAGATGATAAACACCAGAGGGATCATGCCTACTGAAATGGCAGCCAAGAACCAACCAATAGCAATGCCCCAATCTGGGTACACGATACCGCCATATGTTGGGTTACTCCAGGTGATGACCGAGTAGATAAAGAGAAGCTGAAAATAAGGTTTACATTTAGACATTTTATGTTTCACATTCATGTATTTCATGGCACAAACACAAGACTGGACTGTACATTATTTTTCAGGACTAATGGTGAAGGGCTGGCCAAATGCTATGATGTGTTTACAGAAATGAACAAGAGCAAGAGGAACCACAGTGCCACTCTTAAAGGTCCAGCACAACATGCCACAGAAGGGTTAACACAGGGTATGGTAAGTATATGATCTGTGTCTTTGTCTAGATGTTTGTAAATCTATTGGTTTTTATAACAAACCAGTAAGAACATGGATCTATTGTTAGTACTGTACTAGTTCACATCAGATCTCAAGCACATAATGACTACTCACTAGAGAGTAGAACTCCAAACTAATCAACCCAGTAATATAACCTGTACACAGAAAGTTACCATAATTCAATGTACAAAATTTGGCATAGATTTTTTACTGTAATTCATTTTCCAGTATTACTTGATTTCTTCTAAATTTAATTTAGGAATTTCAAATTCATGTAAGCTGAAATGAAAACACATACTATTCATCATATTATCGGTCTAATGATGGAAACACCCTTTATTACCTGTACAGTACTTAAATGACAAAATATTAATGAAATACTTAATTACTAAGAACAATATAGAGCTTGACAAACTATAGCAGGATATGTTGTGTAAATTTGACTGGAAGAACTAACAATGAGAGAAGAGATACTGATAAAGCATCCAACCCTCTTATAAGTAAAGAGTTCTTAGTTTGATTATAGATAGACTGGAGAATTGGTTTCCCTCCTTACTTACTAACCCTTACTCACCCAGTACTGTTGATTGGATCATTTGCTAATGGTGAAACAATCCTTCAACCATCCAACAGAACTGTTTTATTATTATTATTATTTTTTTTTTGAGAAGTTCATATCTGTACATCATTTATTATTAGTGTGTAGTGTTAATTTTTTGACGTATTTTACTTGGGAGGTGAGAAGGACGGAATCAATAAATAGTCAAGATTCTGTAATGGCTATCAACTATAAAGTGGATCTTTGTATTAGCATGTCTTAATTTTTACTTTAGATATAAAATTGAGATTACACACACACACACACACACACACACACACACACACACACAGATACAAAATTGAGATTAGACACACACACAAAATATTGCCTTTACAGCATAGAAACTCAGTTCAGAATAAGTAACAGAAAAATATGGTAAGTAAAGCTTTATAATTCATCATCAACAGAAACATAAATACAGTACAGTATTGTTCTCTCATAACATCTTTTTACCAAGGTTTAGGTTTGTCTTACTTACCATAAGAACAATAGGATCAATGAAGACCCAGCACACCTTCCAGAACATCGAGGGAGTGTAACCCAGCATGAATTTGAGGTCCTCACTGAAGCGCCGGACTCCATACACCCAGTGAAGGGCAATCAGCTCAAAAATGGCAACAAGCAGCACACCAACACCGCCTCCAAAACTATCAATCAGGTAGAATATGTATTGACCCGTCTGGAAAAAACAAAGGTCCTCACTGAAGCGCCGGACTCCATACACCCAGTGAAGGGCAATCAGCTCAAAAATGGCAACAAGCAGCACACCAACACCGCCTCCAAAACTATCAATCAGGTAGAATATGTATTGACCCGTCTGGAAAAAACAAATGACCTATTCAAATTACCAGGTAATACTGTTCTATAGTAAAAGCCATTCCTTGTTTTCCTCCTGCCAAAAGATTGTTCTATGCATGAAACTTATCTTTTATACTCCAAACCTTTTACCACTTTACAATTTTTTTTAACTATAATTAGTCTACAGCTCAACAAAGCAAATCATTTTAATAACCATAAAATTCTTTGTTCTTTGAGCTGTCATTTAAATGTCTGAGATACTGTGTTCTCTTCATTACTGCTTCTAATATCTGCTTAGTCTGGTCATTTCATTGTGGTACACACCCCTTAGCTCTTCAAATATGATTCCTTCCAAACAAAGAACAGCTTATATGTCTTTATTCTTTATCAAAAAAGTTTCAGATAAAGATTAATGCTTATTTTGAACACCAAGCCATTTTACTTTTATCCTCTTCGCCATTGATCAGCTCGTTAGCCGCTTGGGCATAATTTAACTGTTGACATGGCTGAGTATGTTATGTTAGATAAAAAAATCAAAATTAAATGAAATCGCAACTTACTGAAGCACAGAGCGGGATACCCATGAGGAAGCAAGAAATGCAGAGAGTGGCAGTGAGCAGCAGCTTACGGCTGCGTAGTCTTGGGAAGCTATCATACAGGGCAGTCAGTACGGTCTCCAGCAGTGCAAACTGTGAGGATAAAAGATATGGAAATGTATAAAATAAAAAGAATTTAATGGATACTAGAGATAATCTGAAACAAAAGAAGCAACTCGCAGGTTAGGTTGATGTATGATGTAAAATTCGGATTTCAGCTTAATTTGGATTTTTTTTAAATGAATTAAACAATTTGAATTTAGAATGAATTTTAAATAACCAAGTGGTCCTGAAAAGTCAATTATTATTTAGTTATATATTATGAAATACTATATTTTACGGCATATAAGATGCACTTTTATGTCTGAAAAATGGCAAAAAAATTGGCCCGCGTCCTATATGTGAAGTTGAGGTTTCCCGTAAGCTAATGAATCCCCCAGTTGCCATCTCCAGTAGGCTAAGTTCTACCTAACCCAACTCCAGAATTGAAAATATATTATTGCTTACTTTAGTACATTATTTTTATTTAAAAAAAAAAAATAATAATATTGTAAATACAAAAGCTCAATTTATAACTACTGTACTGTACTGGTGATGATAACCTGAGACGATTAACATCCGTACGGCAGGCACCCAACTCTTCAGAGCTAAGCAGTAACCATATCTGAACTCTTACAAGCATTACAATCTATTAATACCATACCTGTAACATTTATTTTTAAATCTATAAATACCTGATACAAATGAAGATTTACGTATAACTTTCTTTTCACATTTGAATCAGATAACATCGTTGGCAGCATTGTAGCCAGGTTAGACTTGTTACTACAACCACCAGGCTACTGGTGTTATGGGTGTTTTTTATCTCGTATTTTCGGGTAGATATACGTAACTTTCTTAGAATATTTTTACTCGGTTACATGCACACACCATCCTACATATGGTGAAAAAAGTAAAAGAAATAATTTAATTGTCCTAAGGGCAAACACATAGAGGGAATATACATTTCCTTGTACATGAGTTAGCTGGCTTACCGGGGTAGCAGGAGGAGGCGGGACGTGGGGGGGGGAGGGTTGCTAGGGAATTGGTGGGGTTAGCATCTGCGTTGCGATGGTGAAGCAGGGAGCATATGCAAATGGCGACTGAATTAAACTTTCATCTGTTTTTTATTTACCGTACTGGTTTGGCAATACTGCACAGTATTTTTTTTAACTTATTTATTGGTATTTTTTTATTTATTCCTCACATTTACTGGTACTGTATATCAGGGGGTCCCCAGGTTACGAACGGGTTCCGTTCCTGAGGATGTTCTTAAGCCGGATCTGTACATAAGTCGGAACACATGCTATGTGCATACTGTACTTACAGAACAATGTTTAAAATCCCACTACAGGTATATCATAGCCTAAGTCCTGATATACATCTAAAATTACTTGATTTAAGACAAAAGAAGAAATAGGATGACAATATACAGTAAATGAAAGTAATAATAAGTCATCAGGTAAATGAAATACGTAATGTACATTTCAAGTTTAACCCCGTTTGTATCGGTGGGCGTTCGGAAGTTGGAGACCCCCCTGTATATTATTTTAAGAAAACTATGGCTACAGGAGGAAAACCCACACAAGAGTTTTTCCTAAATACTCCTGGCTAAAATGGGGGGTGCATCTTATATGGCGATGAGTCTTATATGCCATAAAATATGGTAGATTAAAATGAATGAATTATAGGAATACACTACTGTATAATATGAATTATTCAGTAAACTCTTGCTATTTGTGGGTTTGTAATTCACGATTTTGACTATTAACAGTAAGTAGATGGTAGCTAGCTTACGAGCCTGCAGTGAAAGGTAACTACTGTACTGTATACATTACTACCATGTTTATCAATGCTGAGAAACTTAGAGTTAAGGATCAGAAACCAAAATGTTAACAGACTGGCAGATAGACTCATACTGTATATATAGTTGGACGGAAAGACAAAATATTGCTCTATACTACAGCATTATATGTTCTGTTTTGTATGCCTATAAGAAAAGTGAAGTCAGAAGCACAGATAATAGCGTATTATAATTAACATAATGTTACTTACTTCAGAGTCCAGTCCAAGTGTGAAAAGCATGAAGAAGAAGAGAACTGACCACAGCTGTGGGATTGGCAGTGTTCTTGAGATAGCTTCAGGGTAAGCAATGAATGCTAAACCAGGACCTGCCACAATTGAAAAATAAATTTCTTTATTACCATTTTGATTAAATTGATCTCTTGTATCTCTAACTGATCAAACATCACTTGTGACCTAATACACACAACAGTTAACTTGTATAACTGAACCCAGGTAGGAAAAGGGGAAGATATGGTGAGACTGTCAAAGTGCCAAGTAACAATTGCACCCCACTAGCTAAGTTAAACCTGTACAAGGAATTGACCTTAAAAACTACCCTAACACCAGACAGTTATCAGTGTCAGGGAGCAGTGGAGTGCATGAATGTGTTGGCACTGCTTTGGTTGTTTTTTTGTTGTTGATATAATTGTGTTTCCACCAAGTACAGTGACCCCTCGTTTAACGAACACCTCGGTTAACGTAATTTCGATTAACGAACTGCCTTCCATAAGGATCTTCAATTCGGTTAACGAAAAAAAATTCGGTTAACGACGTTCTTACGAACCGACCTCAACATGTTTTCGCTTGCACTGACCGGGCAACCAGCTTTAGTATCAGTCCGCCAATACATTAATCGGTTCTAGGGCTTAAATTCCTTACTATTTTAGTAAATATCAAGAAGTTTATACTATTCAATAATTTTAAAAGTTTAATATTCAATTTTTTAGTCATTTTAACAATTATTGAACATAATTGAAGGTAAAGTGACTAGTTTAATGCGCGGCATCCAGCCTCTTAACACAGCAAACAGGAGTTAGTCTCTCTCTGTTTTCACTGGAGGTAACATCTTGCTTGAGACTCTCTTCAACTAAATGCTTTTTTTCTGTGTTTCCAAGCAAATTATTGGTCATTTTGAAATATATTTTACATATTGACAATATATAATGCAGTACAGTGTTGATTTAAAGATAATAATCTTGAATTACACCAAGAGAGCTAAAATTTTATGGGTGAAATGGCGCCATGGGGTGACTTCTCTTCCACCCCAATGCCTTCTCTTCTTCCTTCTCCTCCACCCCCATTCTAAATCCCATCATCATCATCATCATCATCATCATCATCATCCAGGAGCCTTCTACATTCACACCTCAAAGTAAGTGAACTTTTCTTCCATTTTTGTTGAATTTAGGAAATTTTCGGTGAGCTGGAACCAATTACCCAAAAACCCATTGAAACAATGGTTTCGGTTAACGAACGACCTTCTGGAACGGATTGAGTTCGTTAACGGAGGGGTCACTGTACTTTAATTTTCTTTGATGTCAACTAATATAATTTTGTTTCTACATGCACAGCTATTCTAAAAGTTTATTAAGTATTTTCAGAGCAGTATTTTTGGGGGCATATAGTGAGTAGACTCTCAGTCTATTGCCACTGGCAACATCAAAACCAGGATTCTTCAAATCTTAATTTTTCTATTGTCCTCCATTAGATTCTGATTAAGACCAACACAATTAAAAGAGTTCCAGGGAATCTTAATATATACAGTATACAGACACACACATGTATGGAAACATTAATCTTGATGACTATAACATTCTTCAAGAAACACAAAACTTTAATAGAAGGGTTAAAATGAAGAAATATGGAAAACACACCACTGGTAGCGAGTTCCCTTATGTCAATCCCGAGGTCATGTGACATAGCGCCCAGCACAGAGAAAATAGCTATGGATGCAATGAGTGATGTGATGAAGTCCAGTGATGACACGATAAAGGCATCAATGTGAACCTGAAAAAGGAAGTTGTTGATATACAAGTATATCAATTACCACATTTGGTAAACATTATTTAGACTAAGGTATTTCAATACTTTATGAGTATCTTGGCAACTGGCAGCACCAGCAGGAACAACATAAATCACACAATATACAATTACTTTTCAATATGAAGTCATTCTAAGTTATGCATGCACCATTATGCACATTTTAAATTTTAGTTTAGTATACGGTATATGTACACTATAGGTAGTCTGAAGCAATAGGTCATGAATACACCATGAGACAGAAAAAAGAATTTGTTTTATCGAAACATGGGACTGAAGATATATAATTAATGTGACAAATACCTTGTTCCTGAATTTGTTGTAAGAACCGAACATGATGAGTCCTCCCCATGACACAGAGAGAGAGAAAAACATCTGCTCTGCTGCTTTTCTCCACACTGTCACATTCAAGATTTCTTCCCAGCGTGGAATAAACAGAAACTTGAGGCCCTGTATAAATAGAATGAAATCAGTTCATAATGATTTTTGACTCATGAACAAGCTTGTGCATTTGTACTATGCAAGTCTTAACCAACATAGTTAAATCCTCTATTCTTCATATTTGTTTAACTACACAACTGTGCTCTTCAATACAATCATGACCTCCAAATCCCCCGTTACTAATAAAACAGTACAAGTAATAAGATTTTTGCCTTATATGAGTCTGTAATATGATAGCTGTATGCTATTTTCTTAACTATTAACATCAAGCTCTACTGTATATGCATCTCGAGGCTTTTACTAACTGATAGGACGGCAAGAAAATATTACAAAATTCTTACCTCAACAGCTCCTTCCAGCCTGACACCAACAACCAGCAGTGCAATGAGAATGACATATGGGAAAGTGGCAGTGAAATACACCACTTTGCCTGACGACTTGATGCCCTTCACCAGGCACAAGAAGACAATAATCCACGAAATCAGGAGGCACACAATCAGTGGCCATTCAATCTCACCAATCTCACCAAATTCCTGAAGACCACGCTCGTCCAGGTTTAATACTCCATATCTGAAGAAGAGGTTAAACGCTGTAAGACACAACATCTAAAGTACAGTAATTTTGTCTGTCCACATTAACTCGAATACTGACGGATAATTTTTGCTTTATACTGTATATATATATATTTTTGTCTTAATTTTCTAAATACACAACAGCTAGTTAATGGGTAATACTGTAATGTTCTTTGTAGGATATATTAATCAACACCCTTCAATCTGTAGAAAAACATAGAATTTTCAAGATGTACAGGTATTATAATGGAAGTCAACATCGAAATTCTTGATGAAAAGAAAATTTGAAGTACCTGTATCTCTTAAGAGTCACCAGAGATGTTGTACCTCAACACTCTACACCATACTGTAATGTTATAGTGTACTTTCAAAATAGCCATGAGTAAATTTTTATTAAAACAAAGAATTTAAGATACATTGAAAAGGATCTATTTGGCTGGGTTTCTTACTCACTTCCAATATTGTGAAGCTGAGGATTCATTCTTGGTGGTACAATTGACGGAATCTGTGGGACCTGTCAGGTTGTAGCGAGAACATGGGTATAAGCCACCTACTTCAAAGCAGTTCTCTCTAGCCCAGTCACTGTTACAAGTTGCCCACGGTACCTGAGAAGAATTCACGAGTACAGGATTATGTTTAGATTTAAATCTATACTGTATACAGTAAGTCTACTGCAAGTGCTTGTCATTGGTGGACATCATCAGCCAGTAATCTAGAGTGAAATGTTTTTAGGACAACACAGACTTGCTGTAAACTTCCCTCTACATATATGATGGCACAGTCAGCAGTGCTTCATTGTAAAACACTTGAGAGTTAAAGACACCCCTAAGTTCCAGTTTTATCCTTTATCATCATATAAATGCAGTCATTATACACAGGCTGTATAGACTCTAGAGGTTATCTAGCTAAAGGTGAAGCAACTATATTGACAAATGTATAAATCCTCATAAGTAGGGTGACATACAGTACATCTCTAGACTCCCTTTGGGCCAGCAGACTGGGCAACTATACTGTATTATTGTACTGTATCTATTTTTTATGCAGCTTGGGGTCAGGTAGAAAATAAACAAAACATTTAATGTAAGTTTGAACCAGTAGAACTGTCGCAATTCTTAATATAATTTATAATTTCACCATTTATCAGCTTACTATTACTGTACTATACTGCAGTAATAGACCAGGGTAAATGCAGCTCATCTAGCATGTACCAGACTGCCCTGTTCTAAACACCAGAAAACTTCCAATAGAACCACATATAAAAGATGTCAAATGTAAACAAAATTCTTAAGAGTTTGCCAACCAAAGAATCAGTGATGCTTACCTCTCTTGCCATGCTGTGATACATGTAGTGGATTGTGTAGGCCATGAGTTGGTTGTAGTATATGGCAGTGATAAGGGAGAGAATCACCATAGCAATGCCCACACCTGCAAGACAACAAACTCATTCCAAACCTGCCATACAAAAATACCTGCTTATTCTCCTCCAACACCGCTAAGCTAATAACATACATTTCTCTACTATGTTAATAATTTTCACACGTACATTAATAATATTAAATGTTCAGCCCGAGTAAGATCAAATGTAAATACCATTAATGTGAAAAAAGAACAGGCTCCAACCTGACCAGTACAAGAACACTGACCTTTATAATTCACTGCAAAGTAAAGTGAACAATAGAGTCTCTGACCACATTCTTTACGATCTATGACTACTGTACATCACTGTTGACAAAAATAATCTTACTTATTTTTACATTATAAGTAGATGTAAAAATTAAGGCTAATACCGACAACTGCAATATTGATGATGTAAGGGTGAGAGGGCCAAATACTATGACCTTATAGATATAGAGTCACTAACCCTGCATGACGGGGGCACAGCGCCACACATTCAGTGGCCCTAATTGGCTGTACTGCCCAAGTGCTGTCTCCATCAGGTACATGGGCTTGCCAATCAGCACCAGAAGGATGATGTATGGAAAGAGGAATGCCGCTGAAAAAGATAATGTACTTTAGCTCCTGTTGTACACACAAACTCCGCAGTATAGTTTTAACAATATTGTATAGGTACTTTAATTACCATCATTTAATTTGCAACAAAAACTATAATACAGTAAGTGTACAGTACAGTATATTGTAAAAAGCTTATTCTCATGGCAATGGTTCTTCAGCTGTTGACACGGTGAAGATAATAGATGTGAAAATTAGTTTTGAGGTAATTATTTATTGTTCTAACCTAAACACACTCCCTAATAAAATTTACTGTAATAAGATAAGCTTAACAATAAATGCTTGCTACAGAATCGTACTTTTAAGTTTTAAATTCATACTGTATTCTTCACTTGTCAGTTATGTAGTCACTGCCTTTGTTTATGTTAAACCTACCCTAAAAACAAGTAATTGTAGCTTATCTTTATGCTATATTTTGACAATACTGTACTGCACTGTATATTTTTGTATTGACTGAGGTGAATCAGTTTGGTACATTGTTATGTCTTCAGATATGATGAGTATAGTGATTGTGCAAGCCTATGGGACTGTGGACCAATTATTTACAAAGATGTTATGAGAACTTCATTGATTTTTGCAGTATCATCCATCTCCATCATTCCCACAGGAAAGGTAAAAATAGATACAGCAATATAATACTGAAGATATTAATGAAGGTACTGTACTATATACACTGTAGATATTAAATACCTGTACAGGTATACTGGATAGTACTTTATATTGTACTGTATATTACAGTACAGGTATATATTTAAAATGTAAAGATAAATATAGTCAGGTAAATAGATAGATTTAAAAAATTTTCCTCATTATTTTTAATTTTTATTAGAACTTTGTCATGTGAAAGTTTCACTCACTTCCACAACTGTGTACAGTGTAGACAGATTGTGCTCTTTATCAACAGTTTACCAAACCCTTGGGGGAACTTCATAACATTTCAATTTCACTAACCTCTGCCATTTTATGTGGTTACAGTGTACAGTAGAAGGAATATAGATAAAAAATATTTATCATATAGATTGATAAATACTTAGTAATGATAGCTATTTGACCGAGTTACTGTATGCAAATATTTCAAATATAGACAGGTATTTGATAATAAGACAGACATTTAACATCCATATAAATATTCAGTACAGTAGGATAGAAATAGATATGATAATTGACAGAAGTAGACAGATAACTGACATATAGAAAGACAGGTGTATGACTCATACCCAGCACACATTATACTGTTCTACCAAGCTCTTGTGAGAACTTTGCAGCTTGCCAGAGCTCGTACTCACCTCCACCATTCTCATAGGCGAGGTAAGGGAACCTCCACACATTACCAATACCAACGGACAGACCGATGCAGGAGAGGAGGAACTCTGCCTTGGACCCCCAGTGACCACGTTCCCCCTCGCCTGACTCTGGCGCTTCTTCCTCCACGGGATGTGTTGACCCTGACCCATTGCTCTGCTGGGGAAGAATATTTTTTTGTTAGTAAGGTAAGTGTGTGTGTGAAGGAGGGGGAGGGGGTAATTAAGGCCAGCAGCTATGGGTTAAATTCTTTAATAAATAAATTGCAAGCTTCAATAACAGTAGAAAGATGTCACATACATATACCGGTACACACATAAAACATTGTGCTGGCCTGCATACTGGTGTAGTATGTGACAAAAAATAACATTATCCTGCAATCTTTCAGTTCACATCACTTTTTTTTTCTAGTCTGTCAGCTTGTCTGTTATGTCTGTCTCTGATTCCAGAACACCATCTGTCTGTTTCCATTTACTTACCAAATAATTTATCCTTTTCACCTCTGGTCAGCTCACCAGACTCTTCTCTAACTGACCAAAACAATATCTACTAAACTTTTCACCTTGATTCCTATTCAAACACCTGCCCAACTTCATAATTCCTCCTCTTTTCCTCCCTAAACACTCCCCACTCCCACACGCTCCCTCCTCCCCCCACCTCACACTTCCTCCCCCCACACACTGTCTCCTCCCTCCCCACACACTCTCCTTTTCTTCCCTCCGCTCCCACCTCCTTCGCTCGCTCTACCTCCCCTCTTTTCCTCTTCTATACCTGGATAAAAATCTATATATCACTTAACACTCCCTTCCCTCACCCTCCCACCCTTTCTTCACACTTCCCAATTATTCAATATACTGTACAGTACTATACATCACTTTCCTCATTCCATCCCAGTATGAGTAAATATAATTAACTGCTTGGTAATTTTTTAAAGGTTACTTTCTACTTCGCACATACCGTATAAGTAATTTTCATTTGTATGCACTAAAGCAATTTCTTGCCTTCTGGTATGTTCACATCCTGCAGGCCACAACTATAGAACTTGTAATACTGTACAGTACTTGAATACTGTACCTCTGCTACTACTTTGCCTTAACTTATATGTGTTCTTTATGAAGAGTTTGTCGAATTCCCGTCTGTATACCCACGGACACAGCTACACAATGTCTCGCCGGCAATTTCCGTGTTCAAACTCCCAAACACTCGCCATCCATAACCCTGGCACCAATTCCTCCTCCTGCATCCCAACCATCAATCCACTACTCCCCCTCCCTTATCTACCCAAACTACTGACTCTTATCAACCATTAACATTGTCCACACCTGGTCTCATCCTCATCACAACCTACCCACTCATACCAAACTTAAAATCTCTTCCACTCCACCAAGTGCCATGCATCACTAGTGACCTTCCCTTTCCCCACATACCTTATAAGAATGGTAAGGGGTGGGTACGTAGTTCTGTCTCCAGCGTTCGTCAGTACCGTTGGTGTAGCCCTTGTTGGGGGGTGAGGTGTGACCCTCCCCTCCACCACCGCCGCCTCCACCATTACTGCTGCCGGGCGTGCTGCTCCGTTGTTTGTACGAGATGGGACTAATCGGGTCCTGTGGGGGAGTGTCGTGTCAATTAATGTACTATCCTTGTGTTACTATCACTACATGATAAGTACTGTACCCATAAGGTTTACCCGGTACCTATATTTGATCATGCAAAAATTAGTTGCCCTAGATGATGCTTAAACTTATGGTAACTTAATTAAACCTAACCTCTTCTAACTTAAACACCCAGGTAATGTAAGGGTATTTAATCCTCAGGTGAAATAAACTAGGGTAAATAATCATCATGTGATCCCCTGAATCTGTATTTGTATGGATGTTCTTAAAAAAGTTTTCCTATTGTATTAAATAGTGTTATGTTACTGTGGGCGTTGTAACTGGGAAGGTTAATATCAGTGAGTAAGGGAAAGTTCGTCATTTTTGTCAGTAGTGCAGGGTGCCATGAAAACTGTGTTCAGCATGCTCATGCAGTCTAATTGTCCGAAACGAAAATTAAATATTGAATGAAATATATCTTCCTCCCTGACTCTTCAATCAATATATAATATCGATTTATTACTTCCAACACACTCACCCACACACACACACACACACACATCAATCTGCACTTCATAATTATAAGTTTTCTCTGGATAATATCAGACGACAAATTAAATGTACTGTACTGTAATTATCTCACACTCTTAGGTAACACCTGTGTGTGTGGTTGGAATATGTACAGTTAAACTAGTACAGTAGTTGTTGGGAAACTTACAGTGCTCCATGAAGTTTTAAATGGTATTATTTTAGTTTTGGGCATCCAGGGAATCTTGGGAATTTAACTCCCACCAGAAAGGGGGGGTGATGCGATCCCCCCCCCCCCCAGTCTCATTTGGTTAGATACAGTTCCGTGGTTCTGTAGCAAGGTTAGGTTGGTTATATTAGGTTAGGTTAGGTTAGGTTAAGTTAGGTTGGATATCTAAATACAGGAATGACAGAAACTAAAATTTTACCTTTTAAATAGCCTGAACACAAACAAAAAAAATTTGTTGTGAGAATATTAAGAGGAAACATTAGGTGACGGATAGTGACAGAACAGGTTATCAGTTAATGTACGATTAAAAAATGTCAGAAATTAAGGAAGAATCATGAAGACTGTGAGTACGAAAGTAATTAAGTTTAACAAGAAGACCACGACCACGCATTGGAACTTGGAAGAGTGGAACTTGAGATAGTCACTCTACATATGTAAATACACTGATCTTGGTGCACAAATATTCTGGTTTAAAGCAGTGAAAAAACAGTGTAGTTTCATGCAAATCTTGATATTTCTTATAATCAGATGACTAAACTGAAAGTAGAACTTGAAACTACAATAAAAATATTTACTAGTAATTAACTAAATTACTGATGGTGCGAGCAAGAATATGTGTCATATTTGGGTGTACTGCATATAAATTATATAATGTCACTCATTTCCAAATCAGAAAAAAGTATAAGGATACGTATATGGGTGCAACGATGCTGTAGGGCAGATTTAATTAATGTGAATAATGCAGTGATACGTGAACAACTTTTTTGTAGTGAACAGAAAGTTCAAAATAAAACATATGAATTAAAGAATTTTGCGGGTACTGTATTGGGTTGTGATCCAGCCAAAAATTACGAGGATCTTAAACCAGATGTCATATCTGATATAAATCTACTAGTTAACAGTGGCTCAAGAATTTCTGATGCTGGAACACACAGCTGAAAAGAGTCTCCTCAATAATAAAGGTAGGGTAAATGTTTACAAGTGCACTTTTTTTTTGTATAAAGAGCTATTTTCTTTTGGTAAAAGCATGAAGACCATGTTCATTACCATAATCTATTCTTATGCATTTTAACCAAACTTAACGTAACCGACTTTGCCATTACTTGCAAGCCTAGCATCACCAAACCTAACTCTCCCTAGATGGTAATTTAGAGCCTTAAAGTATCTTAATAAATAACGAAAATATAATGGTTTGAATGTGAAAAAGCGGACTTAAAACAAAATTATTTTGGTACAGTCAGTTTCTGACTTGTGGATGGGTTATGTTCATTAAATACCACCAGTTACTTTTTTTATAAAACCTGAAACATATTTTTAAAATAAATATTGCATAAGAGAATTTTAAATACCATAGGGTTTTATTTACGTTAATTTTATGCTCGCATAAAGTGACTTCCCGCCAAGCCATATTTACCACGTAAGGCATTAAAGAAAACGGAACCTCTAGCGCGGGAATTCGTCAAGAGTCGACAAGAAGAAGCGTGCCGGGCACTTGTTCAGTTTTTGGGTGTTTATCGTAAATTAAAAACGGTGATATAAATTTCCATCGCTTTTCGAAGGATAAAGAACCAAGAAGAAGATGTATTCACTTGTGGACAAGGAAAGACTTTTGTAAATGCTGAAAATGCCCAAATGTGCAGCTTGTATTTTTGAGGCCACATGCTTATTAGGATAATTTGAAAATTAAACTGCTTGGATTACCAGTACCAAGAAGACTTGCAAAGATTAAGAATGGAGCATTATCAACATTACAAATATCATGTTCAAAAGGTAAGCCAATATAATTTCAACTACAACATGAAGAGATGCGAGTATCATAACAATAGCCTACTAAGTATCAAAATTCAAACGTATCCCAAAACAATTTGGAATAGCATTTATATATTTAAAAACAGCAGCAAAACACTATACACTACTTTTTTCACTTTCTTCATTCTAAAGTTTTTAAATGACCGTTATTATTAGGCAAGAACACTGTAGTTGAATGCTGGAGGGAGGTGTAAGCTGCCGCGCGGGAAAGCAACAAATTATTGCCAGTCCTAATTTTTATAGGCTTATTTTCACATCAATTGGTGATTAATGGACGTGGAGGTAACAAAACCTCTCGTCCTCTAATAATAACCTTTTACATTATGGCTGTTTGCCGTCATGACCCTCTTGTAGACGCTTAGCATTAAATTTATAAATAATTAGGTTATGCTAGTAACGGAGAGAGTTCCCAGAATGAAGTCGCAAGTAGAGGGCAAGTGATTATTTTCTTGTAAAATTAAAGGTTATGGAGAGATTGTTCCAATGGTATCAGGGAGAAAGTGGCCTGAAACCACACAAAGGAGTAATTATAATAAAACGCTGGGTACTGTATATCGCAATATGTGCAGCTCATTACTGTCACTGATCTCATTGCGTATTTTATACGGTGTATGTTTTTGTTTTTTTTAGAATTTGCATTCTCAAGGCAAGTAATAAAGAATCTGAACCAAAATCTCAAAATCGGTAAACTAGGGAAATCTAAGTAATATATAAAATAAAACCCACATGAAATCACTACTGTTAAAGTGTAATAAAAGCTGAAAAAAATTACACATATAAATAGAAACTATGAAAATTGTTTAGCAGAGCTAAAATTTAGTCTATATAATTTTAAATGTGATCTTGGCTAGAAAGAGGGGTAAGTAAGTGCTCATGACATGAGCCCCTAAAAGTTCCGTTTTCTTTGATGCGTGAGCAGATCGTATTCTATTGACCTCGCACTTGACTAGAGTTCACGTAAATAAACTTTAAGAAGTAGATGTGCTTGTGAAATTTGTCTACTTTAATAAGTACACAGTAATATCAATAACGTAAGGGGCAGTGTAAGTGACTGGAAATTAAATGCGCAAAGACAACCCCCCCCTCCCCAACTAAACTATTGTTGTTATAGGTACGAATTTAGATTTTATTAAACGTCAGGCTAATAAATGGGTAAACAAAATATGGATTTGAGAAGAAAATGCTTTGAATATTTGGATGAGGATAATTATGTTCAAATGTCTTTATTCATCGTTGGTCCGTCCGACTGCATATTGAATGTGCAAATCACGTGTGGTGACAATCGTGATAACCTGTAAAAATATAAGGTAATTGAAAATGTCCACCGACGAACTAGCAGGCTGAAATGTTTCCTTCCCAGTTTGGAATGAGTGAGATTAGTAAGCATTAATTTAATCTATATAAACAGGAGAACAGCAATTCTGGCACAGGAAAAAACAAACAAAAAAGTGCTTGATGATAGAATAAACAATCACTGGGTAAAATATAAAATTAACTTAATGGAGACGAATAAGTCAAATGAAACCCTCACGTGATCGACTGACAGACCGCCCAAGCTGATCAGTGGCGAAGAGGTAGGTCAAAAGTAGCTTCGCAAAGTTAAAAACCCCAGTTACAAAGTTTCCCCTGTAGATCCTGCCTTAGCTGTAAAAAAATAATCTGCACTAAAATATTTTTAGCTTTGTAAAATTGCCACCAGAGAATAGGATAAAAATTTCTCTTGCATGCTAAGTACAGGGGTTAACTTTAGGATCTCGTGTGACAGTTTGACAGCCCAGCTGACGGCATCGAATGTTGGCCGGAAGATAATCGAATACAGTGGTGTAGTTCAATTTTAAGTTCCCTAGAGGTCTGGTAAACGTTATATAGTTATGATTTTTATATCAAAAGTGAGCAGTTACTGAGTCGTCATATAGTGAAAACTAGGAAACATCCATAGTTCAAGGTAAGCAAAACACAGCTTTCCTAATACTGTATTGGGAGGGAAAGACGAGTGTGTCCCCTGTTTTTCTTTTCTCTTTTATTTGTTATTTAATTCTAACTGGCATTTCTCAGTACACCTTGAGTGAAAACAAAACATGAAGCTGACTCAATTTGCACGGTAATTTTTCCTCGCTATGAGCGGCGATCCTCAGCCAGTCTTTTATAAACAATAAATTTGAGAAACCAACGTATACATCTGCACGTGAGGAAAAATTAACGAGACTGACTAGACCATGACCATATACAAGTAGATGCGTATGCATTATTCTACACCTGTATTTCTATATACTGTACGGTTAGAGACGAAAAGTTTGAAGTATTATTAAATAAGTGTGTTTGTGTGTGTGTGCGTGTGTTAATGAAAACGCTGACTGGCTGTTTCGAACTGACTCGGTATTATCTGAACGGAAATATTAGATTGTGGTCTCAGTGATAATTAATTCACTCGCATTTCAACCGATAA